TATATATAGCCTATATATAACTATAATATATTAATAAAGAACTATATATATGGCAGCAATGTTATTATATTATAATAGCTTATAATATATATAATATGCATTTTATATTGCATTATATTAAGTATAATATATAAATATAGTTAATATAGGAATGAAATGAATAATTATTACTTTTAAGGCAAATAAATATAATTTTAAGATAAGTATGCAATAAGGGTAAATATATAATTAGCATAAAACCATAAAAGCCTTAAGTTTAATCCTTGCCGTATATAATATAAGAGTAGGAAGAGGGCTATATAATGAGCTTAGGCTATTACTTAAGCTATAATATATGCCTATGCCGGGCTTATATTACACTTAACCCTTTTATATAATAGGGTACATACTTAAAAGATAGATTTAAAGTTGGGCCCTTTTAAGGCCTAACTTACTTTTTAAATATTGTAATTCATAACTCCTTTTGGGTGCCTTTCAGCAAACGCTTAAGGCCAACCCATAACAAGAATCCCTTTAAGGATATATTTAATTTTAAAGATGAATTATTTATTAATTTATTTAAAAATAAAGAGGAAGAATATATACTTTATCTTTAAGAACCTTTCTTTAATTTCAAGGTAATTCTTCTTTATATATATAATATTAATTAAATTTATTAATTAATAATCTTTAGCTTAAACTATTAAATTATTAAAAAAATAATAAACTTTAATATTTAATAATAAGTTTATTAGCTTAAAGATATTTTGCTATTTTAGCTATTTTTATTATAATAAAAAGAATATTTTTTATTATTAATAATATTATTATTAAATTAAAAGTTAATCTTAATTTAAATATAATAAGGAAAATAATATTATTAAAAAATTGAAAATTTAATAGTATTTAAGAGTTAAAAAATAAGTTATTAAATTTAAAAGAGATAATAAAAGAATAATATTTATAATTTATTTTATAAGTAAAGTATAATTTATTTTATAATTTTAAATTATAATTTAATTTATTCTTTACTTATAATCTTTTTTATAATATAATTTAATATTATTTAACTTTTAAATATATATAATATATTTTTAAATATTAAATAATAAAAACTAAAAAAAATAAAATAATAAAATAAAAATATAATAAAGTATTAATAATTATTTTAAAATTATATTACTATTTAAAGAATAAATAATTAATTTATAAGGAAATAAATTATTTATTTTAAAAATAGCGTATAGTTAAAGCATTATATTAATAAACTAATAAATAACTCTATTCCTTAAAGTTTAATAATATAATAAGATTTAGATTATTAAGTCTTAAAATATCCTTTAAGGCCCTTAATAATTATAGAAATTTTATAATATTAACTATAGCTTTTAAAAGAAAATAAACTAATCTTTTTCTAATGATAACCTAAGTAATTACTATAATTATATGCTTTACCGCTAAATTATAATAACTACTTGCTTAAAAAAAAGATTATAAATTACGTTTAATATCTTAAAAAATATAAAACATATTAAATATTATTAAAGATAATTTTATTTATTAAAAGTATTTTATATTTTAATAATCTTTAAATTTTATTAAATTTAATAAAACTTTAAATAATTATTATATATTATTATATATAAAAATGCAAGGTTATAAAGTTTTATTATTATTATTAATATATAATTTATATAAGCTTATTAATTAAACCTACTTATTTTAAACCTTGTAAGTTTAATTCTAGGGTGTTACGGTTTGGGCTTTGCCCATTGTAATTAATTAGTGGGCTTTGGCCTTATAAGAATAGGCTTTAGCACGGATATAAATGGGGAGTAAACCTTTTCCTTTATACTTTAAATATAAACTTTATTTAAATACTTTATAATAAATAACTTAAGGCTAGCTTATAATATATATTTAAAGTCTTCTTATATTATAAACTTATAATATAATTATATAAAACTTAATATAATAAGACTTAAAAAAAATAATAATAGCTTATTAAGCCTTTTTTTATTTTAAGGAATTTTTATCTTAAAAATACTTAGTAACTTAACTAGTAAAAATAAAGGCTAAGTTTATAATAAATAAAAAGGCAATTAATATTAAAAAGGCTTAATTTTTTTATATATTTAATTAATTAAAAACTTTTTATAATTAATTTTTATTTTATATTAATTTTATAAAGATATTTAAAAAATAATTAAAAAACTTTTTAAAAAAGGTTTGCCTTATATTTAAAAACCTTTTTAAATAAAAGCATACTAAGCTTAGCTTAATTATATTATAATAATATTATAAAAAAAAATAATAAAATTTCTTATTTAATTTAATTAATTAACTTATATAATAAAGGCTTAAAATTAGCTAAATAAATATAAAATATTATTAATAATTAATAGCTTAATTTTTATAATAAGAATTTAGCTTAATTATAAAAAATAGCTAAATATATTTAAAGCTTTTTATTTTATTTTATAATAATATAAGGATATTTTTAATATTATAATAAGGAAAGATAATACTTAACTTTAAAATAATAAAGTAATAAATATTAATATTATAGCAATCTTAATAAGCAAAGTTAAATATTTTATATATAGCTAACTTAGCTATTATAAGCATAATTACCTTAATTATTATAAGAAAATAAGGATATAGCTTTTATTAATTAAGGTTAATAAGAAAAAAAAGTTTATTTAAGAAAGTATAAATTTTTTTTATAAAATAAAGCTTAAAAACATTACTAGCTTAATGCTAATTTAGGCTTAAAATAAGCTAGCTATATGCTAATTAATTTAGCGCTATAAAAATATTTAAAATTTAAGAAATTCTTATTAATAAAGTAAATTACTTATAATTAAGCATTAATTAATTATAAATTATATAATAAATCTATAATTTTAAGGTTTTAAGTAAAAAAGCTTATATAAAAGGCTTGCATTAAAAGATTATAAAAATGCTATTAATTTAATTATTAACTCATACTTAAATAATTATTTTTTATTAGCTTGCTTTAATTAATATATTAAATTATAAAAGCTAAGGTATATTAATTATAAATAATAAGTTAAGCCTTTAATATAATTAAAAAGCACTAAGGTATAATTAAATAGCTAGGTAAAAAGTAATATTTAATTTATAATTAAACTAAGGTATTCTTTATTTTTTATTATATAGCTGCCCTTTAAAACCTATTATAAAAACTTAGAAAAGGAGGATATATTATAATTTAAGCTTTGCTTATTATAATTAGTTAATAGGCTTTAGCCTTATAAGAATAGGCTTTAGCATAGATATAAATAAGGAGTGAACCTTTTCCTTTGCACTTTAAATATAAACCCCATTTAAACACCTTACGGCAAATAACTCAAGGCCAGCCCATAACATAGGGATATTTATTATATTTAAGCTTTAAAAAGAATTTTAAAATAAAGTATATATAAGGCTAAATAAGTTTAAAACAGCTTTATAATTAGTTTTTAAATTAAAGCATTAATAAGGGCAAATAAGCTTAATTAAGCCTTATAGCTAGTTTTTAAATTAAAGTATTTATAAGGGTAAATAAGCCTAATTAAGCCTTATAGCTGCTTTTAAATTAAAGTATTTATAAGGATAAATATATTTTAATAAATAAAAATAATAAAATTATATACAATAATTTTAAAGATTTTTTATAATATATAAAAGTAATATTATTATATTAAGAAAAAATTTATTATTATTATATAAATATATAAAGTATTATTTAATTTTTATGTATAAGGTAAAATTAAGATATCTTTTTATATTTATTTTTTTAAAAAGTAAATAATTTTTAATAATATTTCATTCCTTAAGTTAAGAATAAAGGTTATTTAAAAGTATTTTTATTATAATTTTAATTTTATTATATAAAAAGATATTAAAGGTTATATATAGGTAGTGATGTTAAGGGTAGGGGAGCATTGGGGGGGGGGTAGTTATGTTTTAAATAAGCAATTACTACTTAGCAGATTTAACATAAATAAATTGAAACCTTTCTTTTTAAAATGCTATAAGTATTTTAAAGAATTAGTTATATAAATAAAAATTATATTATAAGAAAAGTAAAATTTTATATAATTTAAAATAAATATTATATACCTTAAAATTAAAAGAATAAATAAAGAATAATTTAAAAACCTTAAAACAAAAGTTTATTTTATTATTATATAAAATATAATAAGCTAATAATAAATATTATACTTTTTAATAATAATTTATTTTAATTATATTACGTTTTATTTTTTAGAAATAAATTAATGTTATATATCGTTAAGTTATAATGGGGATTTAAGTTATTAGTTTTCTTTTTTTTAAAAAAATATATATATTTAAAACTTATTATTTAAATTAATTAAATATTTTTTAAGCTATTTTTAATTAATTTAATTTAATTAAAATTAATTTCTTATTTTTTTATTTTTTAAATTATTTTCTTAGTTAATTTAATTAAATTAAAATTAGTTTTAATTTTTTAGTTTTAGTTAATTTTAAAAACTAAAACTAATTTTAGTTTTTAGTTAATCTTATTAACTAAGATTAAATTAACTAACTAAGAAAACTAACTAAATTAACTAAAACTAAGAAACTAATTTACAACCCTGCTCATTAATATGTGCAGGTCTACCGAGGCATTTAACGTCAATAGAGCAAACAACGAGGGGTGTCAGTCGTTCCAGATGTCGAAATCGTATTGAAGTCGTGTCAGGTATTTGTGAGCCAGTATTGCAAATCCCCGGCACCAAAACCATCCATTCACCCGTCCGTCCTCCCATCCAGGCAGGCTGTGAGACTCCGCCCACATGAAACAGGAAACAACAATCAATCAAAGGCCGAATGGGCTTCAAGAGTCTTGACTGGAAGCCACACAAATATATGTACAAGAAGCGAAGAAAATGATATGTACGAGAAGTGAATTAATCCCCTCAACTCCACCCGAATGCTCGAAAGCGCCTCACATGCGGAGCCGCCAATGCCAGCTTGGGAGCTGTAATCTACTGCTCATCCTCACAGTAGTCATCATCCTCGGAGGCTGCAGCCGCGGTAGAAGTAGGTCTAGCTGAGACCGAAACCGTCACTGTCTCCTCCTCCTCGCAGTAGTCATCCTCATCGGAGGCTGCAGCTGCGGAAGGGGTGGGCCTGGACGACACAGAGGCGGTCCCGGTTTCTTCATCCTCGCAGTAGTCGTCCTCATCCTCCGCTGTGCCGGTGGGGGTCGCGACAGCGGATGAGGAAGCGGTGATGGTAACAAGGGTCGTGGGCCGGGCTGAGGCGGGGCCGGAGGCGAGCAGTGTGTTGATGTAGTCCGCTGTTTTGAGGTATGCATGTTGGTCACTAGAATAATAGTGGACGACACTTGAGGGGACACCGTGGAGGCACTCTTGTGAGCTTACCATTTGAGCCTGTAGCAGTCGCGTTGGTGTAGGCACCCTCAACGGCGACACATTGGTGGTAGAAATCGTTTTGGTCCTTGCAGTAGGAGCCGGCCTCGCACTCGGTAGGACCAGTCCAGTTGATGCCGCCACACTGGTGGTAGAGAGCGGCAACGCCTCCGGCGGAAACCGTGGTGTTGGAAGTGGGATAGGTGGCGTTAAGAGCGGACATTTTGGTGGATGAGCTTCTTCGAGAAGTGTGAAAGATTTGTAAGAACGGTTGAAGGCAAAGTTTTCAAGCTGGTTGAAATGAGAGTTAAGAAGCAGTCAATGCTCGTCTGGTGATAATTGAAAGAGAGAGTGGGTGTGATGGATGCTGGCTGGTCTGAAGAAAGCTCATCTTCCAGAATAGACTCGCCATCTTTATACCTGGGTGATTCTAGCGCTGACGCTGCATGGCCATGGCAATCACGCTTGATGGTGTATAGCTCAGGTGAGTGAAGTCTGTTCGGCCAGATACCCGGAGCCATTGAGTGGAGATCAATCTGGCAAGGCTGAGGGAAGTGGGCCTGAAAAGAGTCCACTTCCAACCCTGATCATGGAGGTGTAAATTTGAGAATCACCGCGCCGGTGGACCGGATCAGATGCGCCAAAAGCTTGGTATGGAATAGCGTGGACACATCTCTGCATATTTCGTCAGTATGGACAAACGATCAGGGGGAAGGGAGATCATGGTGGAATGTTGGGCTCATTTTAAAATGATATGTGAGCTCCGCTGGGAAAATCTCCGAGTGGCTGAATAGCGCACTTTCGGCCGGTACCCAGTTCTTGTTGCCTCGACTAACAACCGTTGGCCGCTTCTATACACCAGATTACGTTGCCTCTTGTATATTGACTTGTGATTTCACTCATATCGCTACCTGAATAGTATGGTTTTCAAACTCCTTCCTTTGTATATAGACTTTGTAATTGCGACTTTAGCAGCACCGCCTCAGTGATTTCTCCGTCGCTCATCTCCTTGGAAGGATTCACCGGAACAGGGATATGGGGCACTAGAAATTCTAGAATAAATCGCTCACCTGTAGGGAGATCGTTCCTGACAGCATCTCAGCCCAACTTCCCAGGCCAAAGGATTAGCAGTGTGGGAGGCTGCAACAAGCATGAAGCATTTGAGTCAAGGCTTCTGAGGGGGACAACAGATCAAGCATGGGAATTAAATTTAGTTTGATGATGGGATTGGACTTTTGGAGAAGCCTGAATGAAGTCATCATGAATATCATTGACTAGACTCAAGTCCGACAGTTACTACTCTCGCAATTGCCGCCAGCCGAGTCTTTCCACGGGCTATTCCAGTCGTGGTGGCCTCCACCTTCACAGACGTGGAAGGCTAATTTCCCCGACACTCCCTACTTTCATACTGTGCGACAGCCACCCCAAAGAGCTCGAATGACTCTCATCAAGGGCCGGCTCAACGTCGCTGGAACGTGAGTGGGTTCGAGTCCGGACCCGAAGAAAAGTCAAACTTCAACAGTGACAAGAAGTTGGGACCACGCATGACCTTGCAAGTCGACTTGTGTTTCTTGTCCGTCCAACCCTTGGCCTGGCACTCCTAGTTCCTGAAGTCAGTATGATCCATCAAGACAGTTTCTGGCCCGGGCTCTGTTAAGACAAATATAGAACACCCGCATACCTTGCTGCAGTAGGAGTAGACCTTGCACTCTCCGCAGCGGCTCATCTGACCAGTCGGCTTGCTGGTTTCACAGCCTTGGCACTTCCACTGCTTGCTCTCACTGTCCACGGCGTACTTGACCACGTCGTGACTAAGCTCTCGCAGTGCCTGCAGACCGATGGGGAACACCTAGGACACGAACCAGTCAGCTTATTTGCCTCTCCAAGATCGTCTAGGTTTGTATGCAACATTGGGCGTACGCAGACATCGTCCATGTCCTCGACCCTGACCCCGTGCGTTCCGTCGAGGAAATGGTGCGGCAGGGCATTCATGATCGCCAGCGTGCGACCACTCCTTAGCTGCTTGAAGTCGAAGCCGTCATCGTAGCTGTCCGGATAGAACGCCACGACAGACTCGGCGCCCTCATGGTCCCTGACAATGGTGCGGTAGCGCAGGAAGCCATCGCATTCTTGGATTTCTGCCAGGAAACAAGAGTGCGTGTCGGTGGCGATCGGGAGGTTACGCCAGGAGGGGAAGAGCTTGTCATCCCTCAGGTCAACGTAGGGCGCCATGATTCATTGGGTGTTTTCTCCGAAGAGGGCTAAATTGAGGGGGCAGAAATGAGAGGGTTGAAGATTGAACGAGAAAAAGAGGCTCAAGAAAGGGAGGACAACGTGAGCCGACCATGTTGGCGTACTTAAGGTCGACATTTCCTCGTTTGCACCTGGCCCGTGGTTCGCATTGCAAACGAAGGGCAGCGGCCGACCGAGACATGGACTACAGATGCAATTTGCATGGAAACTTGCAGAACGGCGGTGTGGCTTTATATGTTATTCCATTGGGGAGGGGTTGTATGCTATAGCAATTAAGCAACCTCCCTGTATGCACACCCTAGGAGCTGGTTTTTTTTTGACTTCCGGGGCCCTACAGCGATAGACACACCGTCTCTCGTATTGCCGTTTGTTGACCCCTCCTTTTGTCGCTGGAAACTGAAAGGCGTTTCAGAAACCTGGCATATGCAGGATCTTCCGTGGTCTTGGTGGTGGCGTTCCTTATTTTGGGAATTGCTCTACAGGTCTCGATAGATCTAGATCAGTAACTTGAACCTGGGGTCTCATGCGAGAACCCAACACTGCAAGGACTACTTGACGTGATTTCAGATGTTTCTTTACCCTACGCGAAAAGGCACCTCCTAGGGAGAATATCTCTTTCCAGGCCGAAACCTGCAATTTTGATCACTGTTAACAATTAACGATGCAGTCATACGGACAATATAGTAGCCTCTGATGACTGACTGATTCAATCGCGTTACAAAGTTTCCTCTTGTACTCAAAGTCCCATTTAATGTGAGACTCCAGTCGATTTAGAATGAGTGGTGTCAGCACCTGGGTGTGGGCTGACATCTTGTAAATCGATCCTAACAATCCATTTGATCAATTTAACCTTGCCCACAGTTGGGTGCCCAACTTTTGTTAGATTGACGCAGTGTGACTTGGGACCCGAATCATATCAGACGCAAGTTGTTTATCTCTGTCGGTATGTGTGGATCAGTACATATAGACTAACACTTTCGCCAGCAATTCCGGGGCTGCCCTGTTAAGGAACGCCGACGACTAGCTTCGCGTCTCAAGTAACCTCAAGAGGGTCTAGTGTTGTGTGAATCTCACCTCAGATCTGCGGGGCATACAAGGCAACTCCGATGAGTCAAAAGCTTGATACAGTTGGATCCTCGAGATATTGCCGCTTCTACGCAACTACATGACAAAAGACACGATGTCTGCTCAAGTGTTTACCCATCCAGACGGGCGCAAAACCGAGTACCTCGTCTCCGGCGCGCAGGATGGCTTTCCCCTCATCTACATCCACGGCACCCCGGGCTCGTACACCGTCGGCCCCAAGCTGAACACCACATGTGAGGGGAAGGGGTTCAAGCTGATCACGCTCTCGCGAGCGGGCTATGGTGACTCTACGCGGAATAAGGGCAGGCTGGTCGTTGACGCCGTGGCGGACATCCAGGCACTGCTTGAACACCTTGGCATCAAGAAGTGTGTCGTCGCTGGGAAAAGCGGTGGTGGTGAGTTTCTGTCCTGTTTACTGTACCGTGATTACAGCCAATCCAGGGATGACTGATACTGAACATGTCGGCAACACAGGACCGCACTCTCTGGCCTGCGCGGCTCGGCTACCAGGCTGCGTGGCCTCGCTGGTAATCGCAGGCGTGGGCCCGTTCAAAGCGGATGGGCTCGACTTCCTTGCTGGTCAAGGGCAAGGCAGTAAGTCGAAAACTCGGGCGACCAGGGCCTTAAGTGAGTCCCTTTGTTGAAGAGGCTGACGGAACCGTGTCCAGACATAGACGAATGGGCGGCCGCACTCAAGGGGGAGGAAGAACTACAAAAGTTCTGCCAGGCTGAGAGGCCTGGGATGATGGCGGCAGACGCGAAGGGGCTGACGGAGGCGCTGGCGACCCTCCTGCCCGAGGTAGACAAGAAGGCGATGCTGGAAGACGAGCACACGGGCGACGACATTGTCAAGTCAATGCAGGTGGCGCTGCGGGAGTCGTGCGACGGGTGGGTGGACGATGACCTTGCCTTCATCCGCCCATGGGGCTTCGATCTGGGCGAGATCAAGGTGCCCGTCTTCCTATACCAGGGCAGCGAGGACAAGATGGTTCCGCTGGCGCATGGGAAGTGGCTGGCTGGTCACCTCCCGGAGGACAAGGTGGAGGCGCGTCTTCTGGAAGGTGAGGGGCATATCTCCATCTTCTCCGCGTACATCGACGAGATGCTGGACAAATTGTTGGCTGTGGCGAGAGAATAGTCCAAGAACCTTGAATTGTGTGGTAGCTGGTCCAATTGGGTGGATGAATAAAGATGAGGGTTGTGAGGGTTATCTATGGCAGACCGCGGTACGGATGACAACAATGATGCAAGTTGTAGTGCAGGTGAGGTGACCGTTTGCCAACGCGCCCAGGGAGTGCCAAGGTTGGAAGTCGCATGTCCGCCTGTCAGTCTTGGCAGTGGCAGCAGGGGAGGGGGGATGAGGTCTTACCCCACATAGGCTACGGCACGCTGCAATGCTGCTGACCTTGACACGGAACAGACACAGAAGGAAGGGGCCCATCGAAGGAAAAGATGGGGAACCCTGAACAGCGAGCGGAAACACTGCACACCTCGTCACAGTTGCTCGACCACAGACAGCACGAGCTTGTCTATCTGCCGTCACTCTTCATAGCCATCTCTATTCCATCTACTGCACAGCTCAACCCATTGCCATTGACGGCCACCTGCTAGCACAGCACAGGGCCCGCTGTACCTGTCATCGGAGCGGCGACTGACCTACCGAATCCCGAGTCACGTCACCTCTCTCTCATCCACCAACGTCGGAGCCAGGTCAACCTCGACTTGTATTATCGTTGCTGAGACTTTCTTGCAGGCCACAGAATCGAAAGGCTCTTCATCGATAGCCCTGGGGGTAAATGATCCCGCTGCCACGCCGCCTGAAGCTACGCCTCCCTCGCCATCCCCGCCGTCATCAGCTCCGGCTTGAGCCCGATAATTGCCCGCAGCTTCCCGAGACCATCAACTCACCTCATGCGGCGCACGACGTTGCTGCAGGACGACGAGACGAGACGAGACCAGACAGGCCACAGGCCAGACGGCTACATCACGTTTGCTTCAAAAGCACAGTCCAGAGTCTACAGAATATTTGACCCGTCCGACTGCGCGGTGGAATCCGGCAGCTATCTGTCAGCAGCTCTGCCTCAGGCTGAGGCCACTCGTCCCACAGGGCCGTCAACTGTCTGCCCGCCCGCCCGGCCGTCCCCGTGTGTCTCCCAGAGCAAAGCTAAGAGCCGGAGGCCAAGCTTGTCTAGATTTGAAAAATTACGCGACGCCTGTTATTACTAAGGCTGCCCCACCATACCAGGTTCATCCGCCCTGCTGTTGACTCGCCGGCTCGGTTCCCAGTCCAGTCCAACCCAGTTCATTGCATTGCCCAGCGAGCCTAGCTAGCTGTTGGAACCGCTCTTCCGCCTCCGTTGAGCGGCGGCCCTCGAGAGACGTCACTCTATGAAGGGTTCCCCATCAGCCTCACCCGCGCCCTGAATCTCTCACTCCAGCCCCCGACCCGGTGATCATTGCCATACCCGCCCTCTCACTCATGATCCATGATCACTTCCAACCCGTCAAAGAAGCCTTCTAACACGTGCGTGACCTGTCGCGCACGCAAGGTCCGCTGCGATGGGCAACGCGACATCTGCAACAACTGCATGCGACTCTTCACCTGCTCCTATGACGACTCCATCCCTACCCACACCAACACAAGCCTCTCAGCCGCAGGCATGAATAGCGACGGCACCCCGGCGAGCGATGCTCTCACCATCCACGCCGTCGCCTCTCACCCCCCTCGCCGTCGCGTCCGCCAGGCTTGCCAGAGCTGCCATTCTAGGAAGGCAAAATGCAGCGGCACCATGCCCAAGTGCGACAGGTGTCGCACTCACAGCCTCGAGTGTGTCTACCGCCCCTCCAAGCGGTCCCGCCTCAGCGCCACTCCCGGCGCATCCTCATCTCAGCATGGACGCGACTCCCTCATCGGCGACGGCGCCTCTGGTATGCTCGCCTCAGGGGGCTCCGGCAGAGATGACTACCTCTCAGACCAGAGTCGGAGCGCATCCGACCATCTCGAGACCAATGGCCTCGCCGACCTTCGCCATCTTCCGCCACCCGAGGAATCCCTCATTATCCGCACTTTTGAAAAGTTCTTTCGCCACGTTCACCATATCGCGCTGTTTTCCTTTCTGCATCAGGCCTCTCTGATGCAGAGATACCACTCCGGTTCCATGGACCGACCTCTTCTCCTATCCTTGATCGGAATCACGTCGATCTTGACCGACCTCGGACCCGGTGCGCGTGAGTACGGCAACAGGTGCTCTGCAGCCGAGGGCCTCATCCAGCGTGACCTCGGTCGACCCACGGTGCTGAAGATCCAGGCCTTGGTTTCTCATCATCAAGCACCGTATTTTTTGCCGTCGCTTCTCGGATGCTTTCATGCTCACGGGGCTGGCATCCCGGTTCGCGGCTGCCTTGCAGCTTAACCACGAGCATCCTAGGCTCTGTTTCCTAGCCCAAGAGTCCCGGCGGCGCCTGATGTGGTCTCTCTTTATGATCGACATTGGGATGGCAGCTGGCCACCCTGACTTCACCCTGTGGGCCCACCGCCCCGAGTGCATAGACCTCAAGCTGCCGTGCAATGAACGGAACTTCGAGTATGACCTCCCAGAAGTCACGGAATCGCTGGTTCCGCCACCACGCCAGTCGGATGGCAGTTTGCCCCCACTGACTGATAAAGTTGGGTTTCTGGCTCTTCACATCCGCATCCAATGGATTCGCAGCAAGATACTGGCCTTCACCAAGACGCTCGTCCTTCCAAGGACCGGGGTTCTAGATCTGAAAGCACTGCCTCGCAAGTGCGAGGAGCTTCAAGATGACCTCAATGCGTTTGAGGGACGCTTGCCGCCTCAGTTCAAATGGAATGAGGCCAACCTTCGACTGCGGGCATATCACCCGCGTCTGTGTGTTTACCTGATGACACACATATGGTGGGAGCAATGCCACTGTGACCTGTACCGAATCGCGCTGGTGGGCAGGAGAGAGAGCCTCTCTAAGGAGGCGATCTCGAGGTTAGATCCTGCGTTTGTCAAATATTGTCAGCGGCAGTGTTTTGAGCACGCTAAGGCCATGGCTGAAATGCTCGATATGGTATTACAAAAGGGCGTCCCTGTATCAGACCTCGACCTTCCCGTGTTGGGTTACCAGTGCGCCAACACGCTGTACTACACACTTGCGTCCTGTGGAGATGAATACGGCCTTTCACACGCAAGTGTGGCAGAAATGGCAGCGACTTGCCTCAAAGTCGTGAAGCAATCCGCCCCTGGCCCTGCTGCTGCCGCCATTGTGAGTCTTGCCCATCTCTAGATGAAACCCTTGCATTTCAAACCAGGCCCAGGTGGCTGACCGATCGATTCATGCACAGGCCGAAGCTCTCGAAAAGCTCATCGAGTCCGGGTGGGTAAGACCAACCCTCCCGAGCAATGTGACCTCGCCTGTGTCCATGACACCTGCGAACCATGACGCGTTGGCGGTGGATCCGATGCTCCAACGAGACGCCCTCCAAGAAGCCGATGTCGCCCACCAGCTCTACAACCCATCGATACCACAAAATCTGCCGCCGCAGATCGAATCACCCGGCCAAGCAATGGCAGCCGAAGTACCGCAGCCACAGGCACCGATGCAACCACCGACACCCGCAGTGCTTCGCGACGACGAATCAATCCCCGTCGCCCAAGCGAACATGATGGCCGGGGTGACACCCAACCTCAGCAACGCCTTCGAGGGAGCCTTGGATGGCTCGAATTTTGGGATGGGCGGTTTGGAGCCCTTTGCGATGGATTCATCGAGCTGGTACACAGGGGACTGGTCGAACGGCGGGCTAATGTAGCATGAATCGGAAGTTCAGTTGTGAGGAAATGGAGTTGTGCAAAATAGCTGTGCAGGCTGCCTCAAAAAATGATGGCACGAAAGATGTGAACAAAATAGAGTACAGAAGCTCGGGCATGTATGTATATATAATTCTGGGAGGCGGGCGGCATCGCGTACATAAGAGCACCGCATGCAATAGCGATACCCGAACAAGGAAATCACGCAAATGCAGGCCTCGCCGTGGCCCCACACTGTTTCCCGCGAGACGTACCAAGGACACTTGCAACGCCTGGACCTATATGAACTCCTTCCATACTGTGTGTATCCTCCTTTCCCCTGCCTATCGCCTAGGGCTCCAGTCGAACAGGGCCACGGGGAGAGGGCATCATCAGGAGAGGCACCACATAAAGAACCCTGGTTTGACATCACGGCGCAGCTCGCTACAGCCCACATCGACCGTCTACCAGGGCCTGGAAAGATTGTATTGCCATCCTATCGCAAAGTGCATTCCCCTCCTTTTGACCCACGGGGCTTCTGGCGAGGCATGGCTACAAGGTCTGCTATTAGCAATGGTGCTGCGATTTTGAAAGGGAGGACGGGGAGGGGCGGTGGGTATGGGGTATGTGTGGTATGGCGAGACCGGCCCACTTAATGGTGACATCTGGCTTTGACCCTATTGAAGGGTCCGAAACTCAAATATCTGGATGGATAGGCGCATGCTGTTGTGGTCTGATTATGTTCAACTTTTGGGAAGACGGAGACCGAGGCAATGAGAAGGCGAACATGACCTTTTGTGTCTGTGTTAGCTTTTTTTTAACTAATTAAATTCTTCAGGTTGTTGTTGGGCTTGTGATATAATGCTATGTTCGGGTTGAGACCCCGATTAATTTGAATGAATTTAGCCACCGGGTGCTACAGTACAAAGTAGGCCCGGTGAAACCAGTGTTTTTTAGAGATGGGAGGAATGAATGTTGATTTTGTAGGGAAAATCGCGTGCATGGTAAAATGAAGACCTCCCCATTGATGAGAGATCAGAGGTACACAGAAATTTCAAGCGCATGGGAGTGGTGACTGAGACAGCAGGTTTTCCCTCTCACCAAATGTTTGATGAATTGATATGACGTTCTGAAGTCACTCAGGATACCGCTGCATGGCAAATTGAAGCGTTACAGTCGACGTCGAACATCGTTCTAACCGCCATCCCCCCGTCCCCACACCAACTCAGGTAATCTGCCACACTCGCGGCTTTCCTCACTATATTGAAATCAATAATCCGATTAAATCAACTAAGGCCACTCTTAGCTGGGTAATCAGGAAGCTACTAGCACGGGATGGCGCTGGTCCAAGGCACCAAGCCGTCATATCGACTGCCGCGAGCCTCCTCGTTCCATGATGATTGCTTCGCAAGTCTGCGTCATCAATACCTAGGCAAATGACCAGGGCATCGTAGCCGCAAATTTTGCCCCATCGTGATGTGCCCATCGTCATCTTGCTGGTCAAACATGACAAGGGGAGGGTAAAATTTCTGTCATTCTCCGTGTTCTCATGCGCTACGTCGTGGCTGAGACATTTATGTTTGACAGATCTTGAGCTACATGGGGGAACAGCTCTTGGCACTTGCTGCATATCTCGACTGATAGTATTGAAGTGCCGCTGGGACAGACATCACGTGAGGGATAGTCGGAGAATAGCCTGAATGGAGCGCTTCCGAACCTTCTCGGTGTAGTTTGCAAAGTGAATGACACACCAATGAATACCTTTTTGGCAAGGTGCCACTGGCAAAGACACACAAGATCTGGAGATGGTTGAGCCAGACTTGCGGTGCGACGGTGCTTCAGAGACATTCTCTCCTCGGTAATTAGGGTACTGGAAGAATCGCTGCCGTGGACGTAAAACACGTGTTGCCGTTCACACCGGCTCTACAAATATTCAGGAGAGATCCATTGGTCCTTCGACCAGGTATCATCACGGTCTCACCATACTTCAGAGCTCACCACGCGAGAAATCGATATCAACTTCAATTATTCGTCTCATGTTTTGTGCCTTTTACTGCGTTTACCTGGCTCGAACTCAAATACTCACTTGTAATAATGCTTAGCACATTCCTCCGAATCGTATCTTGTGCCCTATTTTTAAGATGCTCACATTCTACCCCTATTATCGACATTACGGATGTCGGGCCTAGTGTTCAACTGGATGAGTTCATTGACGGTGAGATCGTGTGCACCGGCCACCCGTTGGAGGACAACTTCGAAGACAACCTAGCCTCTGCTGCAGCCAGTAAGTAGTATAACCCTCGCTCATCAATCTACAATCGTACATAGGCATGATCGTCCTAGTCTAGTGGTCTGGAACGACTAAAAGAAAGGGGGAGACGGCCGAAAAGGCTAGGGCTGAAACCATCAGCCCCTGCACACACACACACACACAAATATTGCGTCCGACTACCTAGGCAACGATGTGCTCACCTGTCCACAGAGATGGACTTGGTATGCCTCGCCAATCTCGGCCTCTACTACTCAGATTACACCAATCCCTCGACGGGCACCGAGGGCAATACCATGATCTACGCATGCACGTACGGGGCAGTGGAATCGTGCAATTCCATCAGGTTCTTCGAGCTCAACCCCCGGTTCGACGAGGAATGTCCGGGGCAGGGCGCCTGGATGTACAATGAGACCAACTTGGCGAGCTATGGGCGGGATCCGGCAAAGACGGTAGAATGTTGGACGTGAGGGGCGCTCCGAGTGGGTGTCTGGTGCGATCGAAGGTGGGAACTCCGTGCAAGCATAGCTCGAGAGTATCGAGATTGTTGATCTGAGATTTGGTCCAGCACAAGGATTAAGTAGGCTTGGGGTGTGTTGCAATCCTGGGTCCTTTCGCAGGGAGATTTGGCAACCCAAAAGTCTAGATTGAGAAACACTGTGGTCTTCTTCTTTTCGTATCTTGGTCTGCAATGTGGCAAGGGCGATGAAGGCCCTTAAATTTCGACCGAGGTTCCGGAATTCGTGACTGACGACAGTACATCTTTCGATTAGCTCGCCCTCCTGAAGTCTGCAAAGACATTGCTGATCCAATAACTGGCCAACGAACCCCTGAGGAGACAGGATCCGATCATGTTCGACGCTTGCATAACCTTGAACAGCTGGCATGTGGAGGCCTCAATCCCTCCAGATTCGTTTTTATGTATCATTTGTGATTGGTTTGCGCAAAGTCATACAGGAAGACTGGAAACGAGATACCTAAATAGTCTCTCAAGATCGACAGTAATTTTGACAATGTGTGGCACATGTTGACCGTGACCTTCGGATACCCTATTAGCCCGCCGAAGAATCTAAGCGTGAGTTGCTGAATCATAGCTCGCTAGGGCAATTGGGTCTGTATTGTATAGGCCTAGAAAGCCAGACTCTACCAAGATGACACCTAGGCAGAAAAGAGTACTACTGAGACTACCTCTGATGTGATGTAGCATTACTTTGAGCTGCCGATAAGATTAAAATCCTCCGTCATGATGCGTGCCAAGACAGGCTCATTCTATCTTGTGCGCCCTTCCGGAGGCGGCGATGGTGATTTTGACCATGCTCTCCTGGATAGACCCATTTCCTCCCAGATTCTGTGGACCTCGTCACCGTCTCTGCGAGTTCTCTGACCAGCATCCTCCTGAGGTGGCGAGGTCACAGTGACTTCCGGCGGCTGCGCACCCAGGACACTTTTGCCTTCGGGAGCCCCTTGGCTCTGAGCAGCTCTGCCTTCTTCAGAGTCCGCAGCGACGATTCGACCGCTGGGGAGCTGGACGAGCTCAACCGGCTGAGCGACTTCATTGGCTGCATTAGGTCTTGGCGTCTTTGACTTAGTCGACGCCGCCCGGCTCGAGGTACTGGATCTGTGAGAAGCGACTTCGGATTGGAACATGACACGGATCACGGGGATGGTCTGGGCGATGATAAAGACAGCAGCCTCAGCCTGGTGGAAGCAGCACACTGCCACGACCCCATCTGTGGAAGGTCAGCAGATGATCGCGAGACAAGAAAAAGTCAAGATCGAAACTGGGAGCTTACAAGTATAGTCCACCTCTCCGTGTTTGTGCACCGGAATCATGCTGAATATGATGATCTTGGCGATTTCCACTAGTATAGCAAAACCCACGAGCCCCATAGCTGCAGCGACTCCCCACTTCTCCTTTGTCGGTATGTATGCGACCTGACTGATAATCCACCAGGGGTAACAAGTTAGGATGATATCGCAGACCAAGGAGTTGAGGGTGGCGCCGAGGTGAAGCCAAGTCGCAACAGACATTGGGATACACCGACCGGGCAGGTGCGAAAGATCGAACTGAGTGTCGCAAATATCCAGCCATGTCAGGATAAAGAGGGCCAGGTTGAACGTGTTGGTCAACACCATGACCAGCCACAGAAGTCCCTTGCTCCGCCATCCAGACGTTAACCGAAGCAGGGTGATGGCGAATGCTGTCTTGCTCAGGGCGATCGCGCCGTACATGAAGCTGACCGCGGTGAAGTGGATTGCCTGGCCACGGGGGCCCCCGTCGAGGACGTTGAAGCCGTACGCGGGCCCAGCTGCACCGAAACCGTTCGATATTAACAAACAAACCCAGGCTGCAATTACTGTAGAGAATAGTCATCAGTGAATTGCGCAAAATTTATATCTTAGTTACATTGTCCATGCGGTCCTGGTAGGTTTTGGCGGGACAAGAGGCTAAAGGGTGATGAAACTGACGAGTGTAGTCATCCCGCCATAATCCATGATAGTGCTGTACCCTGGCCCAAAGTCTGGTGAAGAGGAAGACCGTGGTGAGCGATCCACATGTCGAGTGGACTACCTTGGCCAACTCGACGTAACCTGAACGGAGCACAAAGGGTGCGACGGTCATTTTCGAGAATCCGACTTCTGCTGCAGCCGGAACAACGGAAACCGAACTTAGGCGACAAGGAGAATTATGGGCGTGCACAGAAAGACGACACCGGAGGACGAGAGTCATGGAAATAAGTGGCCATGCGCCCCTGCTTTTATCCCCAAGGAGCCGGGCCGCCCACTCAGGTTCCACTCTTGAGCGCAGTCATGGACGGTAAAGTACGAGGCCCCATAAGAATTTTGGCGAGAACATTGGCCAACAGGGCTCGGTACAGTAGACCAGGGGCTCACTACTGCACAACATTGAACCAACAGGTCTCCTCTAAAGCCCAAATAAGGACTTGATCCGCTTTGCCGAGCGAAAATTTCCTGAGCCTGCACATCTGCAACGCATGTAAATATAGAAGCCTGGCTCTAAGCAATGCTGGCTGCGTGGACCTTGACATGCGTTAAACGACCAAAAGCCGCTCATTTCTCATTCTACTATCGCAAGGTTTTGTGAACGTAATGGTACAAGCTCACGAAAGCATATCGGCTCTATACAGATCACACATAGAGGAAGCTTCACATGCGGATAAGGATCACTGACGACTGGAATAGTGTGGCATCATTCGATTTATTGAAGTGGTGGGTATCCCATGAAACTCCTCCGGTGCTATTTAGCCCCATGCAATGCTTGCTATCATTCCTCAACGACCAACTGATGGTCCCAGATGCACCAACTCTTAAACAACAATAACCGTCGTCAGCAAGCTGGGCCTATCGTCAACTGAGTAAACTTTTTCTTCCACGCTGGACATATCGTCATCACCTGGGTACACCTTTACTTCCACACTTGGCTTGCTCTTGCCCCCCTTTCCCGAAACCCTTTTCGGCCCGCTTTGGCCGGCGCTGGTCTTCAACTCCAGGAACTGGCCCACGAGGCTCTCGACCTGCTCGTCAAAGCCTTTGAACCGAAGGCCAAAGGTGTCTTCAGCCAAGCTCGCATCGATCTCGATCTCCGTGGTGCCTACGTTGCCGCTCTTTACTAGCAACCTCGTCTTCTCCGCAGCAGGGAACGACTTAGCCGCCATGTCCTTTGCGTCGTTCCACCTCGACTGCTGGCTGAGGATGTAGCTCTCGTTGCCGGGCACGTTCACCGTGTCGATGGCGGCGGCGACGTGGCACCGCGCGACGTCATCAACGTGCACCGTCGCGCCGGCAAATGGGCCGAACCGCTTGCCCAGGAGCATCGCGAGGACCATGGCGTTGGTGCCCTTCATGCATTGTGCTGTAGTGGAGGCCATGTCGTTGCGGCCCAGGACGAAGGACGGGTGCAGGTGGACGACGTCGAAGGCGGGCCGCATTGTCTCGCACCATGTCTCCGCGGCGTGGAGGGCGGCTATCTTGGAGTTGGCGTATGCTGCGAATTCCGAGTGGTACGGCCCCGATGTGAAGGGGACGCGGTCCGTGGGCCTGACCGGGCAGTCTTTGGGCCGTGGCTCGGTGCCTTCCATCTGGGCTACTGGGATGAGGGCCACGATCGAGGAGGTGATGACGACCCTCCTTACGGTGCCACAGCTTTCTGCTGCCTCGAGGAGGTTCCGTGTGCCGCGTACTGCGGGCCCGATGAAGTCCTCGGCCAGCTTGCTCTCGATGGGTGGTTGTTGGGACCCTGTCACCAGAGGGGAAGCAACATGGATGACATGTGTCACGTCGTTCATTGCATCGTCGTAGGCTCCGTCTGCGGTGATGTCGGAGACGATAGTGTAGGTGAGTCTTTGACGTTGCTTGCTGGTGATCTTCAAAGACAGGCGCCTAAGCAGCTGGCTTGCCTTGGCCTCTGATCTCACCGCGACACGGACGGTGAGATCAGTTCTGAGGGCATGGACCAGTGTTCTGAAGCCAACATGTCCAGTGGCGCCTGTGATGAGAACCAAGTTTGCCGAGGATGTTGACTGTGCCATGGTGAATTGTCGTTCGACTAGAATACCAGGGAAAGTAGTGGTATCAAATCTTCACCGAATATATCTTCGACTTAACCAGGTAGAAGATAAAGACGATAGAATAGGTAGCCAGGTTGTAAAAAAGTCAGCAGTGGAGATGGAGGACCTATATGGCACATGCCAATGTAACTGTGCACATGTGGGCTGACAGGGGCCCAGACCAGGATGAATGAATCCCACGAAGTCGCATCGTATCTCGACGTGCGGCTTTGACCGTGGCCCCGGCTGTGGGTCCAGGCCAATGGGAATAGGGGCCACGCATGATTTGTGCTAATCAGCCTTAAACAGGGGGCCTATGCGCGTCAGTCAAGATGACAATCATGCAGCAGACGCTTCTCCTGACTTGGGCCTGGGCCAGGTCAGCCGGCCGTGGCTGACACTGATTGCTGCATCTCGCCCCTGGATCGCGTGGTGGCGGGTACCAAGGGAAGTTTGTGGGTGGCTCTCGGGAGAGCTGGACCAGTGTCGCCTTTGGTCTAATGTGCTAGTCTCAATAGTGCTTGTGAGCGAGTAGAGCGCACAGATGGGGTGGGACAGTTCCCCGCTGAGCACGGATTGTCGCTCTCCCGCTTCTGACTGGTGGCCGCGCTGCCTGCGCGTTTGGCGCGCATATTGAGTTTCTTTGTGCACTTACTCGGCGCCGGCGGCAGGTGTGCAGTATCATCCCAAAGGCCTTCAGAATTCCCGCGGCTCTCAGTTGCCGAGCTAGCGATATTCCTTGCAGGTATGTTCGAGCAACCTTTACTACCGAGTGCACCGGATGCTCTTCCGAATTTGTTCTTCCAGCGAGACCCTGCGGAAGCTGAGAAGAGCCACTTCATCTGAAGTGGCACGGTCTAGATCTATCTCGCAGTAGATGGCACAAGCGCCATTCCAGAAAGCCGGGCCCAAACGGCTGGGGGAGATGGTCCAGACCCAAGCGACCAAGCCTCGTGGTCTTCAGTCTGAGATCTCGACCAAAGTCGAGACGGCCCAGCGCTAAGGCTCCCACTATGTTAGCTAGTTGGCGCCGGTCTAGACTTTCCTGCCGAATAGAGAGGCTGAAGAGGCAACCGTGGGTCTCCGGGTCTCCAGTCTCCCACTTGCCGTGGACGTGCTCAACGTGTGGCTTGCGTTACTGTCCTGAGCAATCAGATGCTGACATTGGGCGTCAGCGATGACTGGTCGAGCAACAATTCCCCGCAATCCGCTGAGGAGTTGAGACGATTGGCGCCTAGGAACCCCTTCACTTGTGTGGGTTCCGACGAGTAGCATGCTCTCACCCTCTGAAACCAACAGGATGTGGATGGTAGCCTTCGCGGCTGACTTACTGCGAGAGAAGGACCCGCAGGATTGTCTTCCTCTGACGTCTTCCCAAACGACCAAGTAGACGACCCACACTTCTGGATATGAACACGTGCGTCTACATCTTGGCCAAGACATGTGATGCGAGATTTCCGAGATGTCGTAGAAGGAAAGAAAAGGGGACACTAAAACTATCTTTGATTAAACTCATGCGTGGACTCTTCCTTTTCGCACTATTCCATTCCTGTGTGGTTTCTAGAGAATCGGCCATCCAAAATAAGCAAGCGAGACACTACCGAGTGCTTTAGTCGTCCGATCTCACGGACGCGGATTTACAGACTGAGAATAGTTCCTTCACCGAACCATCTGAACTTGTGATTCGTCAGTTTACTTGCTACTCGAACTGAGTCGAACCTCCGAACCGCTGCTCATCCTGATCCAACCCCGAGGAGGACTGCTCCCTTCATTGCCACTCATAATAGACCACTGTTCAATGGCAGTGCATTTCAGATTGAGGCAACTTGGGCCCTCGAGCCCATGACTCAAACAGGCACGTAGATCCGCAAGCAAGAATATCCACATTCTTCGCCCACACTGCCCAAAGGAGGGTGCATTGAGATTCTGACCACACCGCCTCTGTTTACTTAACTCACTTTTTATTTTAAATTTATCGCCTTTTTTCTTCTTCTGTTGAGTTGATCTATCAACTGCATCTTTGAGCATCTGTCTCAACATGGTATGTCCTCAATACCATTCTACCAACACGAACCACTAACTAGCGCCGAACCAGCTTGTTTACATACGCATTCGCAGTTGCGTTTGTGTGCAGTCAAATTAAACAACACAGCGGCCCGGATCTTTCCTACCACTAGGAAGGTAGGATGAACTCCGATCAGGGATCATTGGGCGATCTTGCAAGATTTCAATGCGTTTGGCATGCAGTTCTTCGGACATCTGGTTGTGTGATTGACGCTCTTGGAAAACGTGTTTGAGCTGGCAAAGTCGTATTCGCTCTCTAGCTCTCCGCACCCGCAAAGGTTGGTAACATGAACTGCGAGAAATGGCCTTTACTAGTGATTCAGCAAATTGATTGGTGGTCATATACACACGCAATGCTCGACGACCATTAAATTCCTCGGCAGCAATTGAATATGCGCATACGAAGTGCTCAAAATTACTGCTACGACACGAGCAATTGCTGTTCGCTCAGCAAAGCCAGGTGATGCTGGGAAACAACCTTGAAAAGAGTGGGAAGAGAGACGCGCCTCACCATAGCATTTAATGCTACTTCCCCCTACTGGCCGCCATTACCATCTCGCCTGGGATTAATTGGCTCGTAATGTGCCCAAAACTACAGTAGAATGCAGAAAAGGCTGCTTCCAGTGCCGGGCCAAGCCAATAATTCCAAAGGTAACCGGGAAAGTTTCTATCAGCTACGGCACATCCGAAGCTGCGCACAGGCTTGAGGCGGCCTCCAGCATAGTAGACCCCTAGATTCGATGTAATCATCATGGATTCCACCTTGTTGCGAAATCGTAACCTACCAGTCAGCTCCGCATTGAATAGAGCTAAGCCTATACCCACGAGGACAAAGAAAGTGTCCGTGGACTTCTCAGCGGCGAGCATGAGGATGACAAAGACCAGCTGCACGGTCGTGAACATCTCGATGAAGAGCCCCTGCGCGGCCCGATGTACCCCGCGCGAGGAAGGTGTTCAAAATTTGAAATAATTGGCTCCGAGCATCGCTCTGACGAGCTTTCCGCGCAAATTGATTCTAGTACCTGCGCAGGAACCAGCAAGGCCGTGCGGAGCCAGGACACTTGGGCAAATAGACTCAGGCCTAAGAAGACCTAGAGTAAGGTTAGCTCACGTTGTGCACTAGAAGGTGACGGACTGCCATCTACTAGTAGCCTTATCATTTACTGCAGGGTTAAACAGCCCGTCTGATATCTGGTAAATTGCCCATGCGTTGACTGACAGGGAAAGGCTATACACAAGCTCTGTATGAACGACTTTTTTGGTGCTGAGTCCGACCGTAATCGCACGAGCTGGGGCCCGGTTGAAGATCACGATCTGGCCTAAGTCGCCCGTCCACAGGAAGAAGAAGGCCCCAAAGAACTCTGCCGATGCAGCGATTAGGTGAGGTCCAAGAGGGCTGATGTGGCCGCCTCTGGCGCGAGGGGTGCTCGACTTGCGCGACCAGCTATCCAACGATTTCATGATGCTGACTGCCCTGCTACACGGACTGATTTGGAACCAAGATAGAACTTTCGCAGTAGGTCTGAATCTCCTTACAGGGATCATGCCAAATCCAAAGAGTCGAAGAGCTGGTCGGAGAGGTCCTTCTTCGTAGACTCGCCGAACTCGGGGAAACCAAACTCGGTGAGGACGATCGGGTAGCGGAACGTGTTCCACAGCCAGTTGAGGTAGGTGCGCAGGTACTTTGGCGTGATGTACACGTAGGACTGGGAGCGGTATCCGATGTTCCATGGACCCAGATCGTGTAAAGCGGTATGGACACCAGCACGCGATATCCGTTTCTGTAGTGACAATGGTATTCAGATAAATTAATTGAAAAGCCTGTTAATTCACGCAGATGTTGCTTTCGTAATGGAGGCCTGCTGTGACTTGCCCTCTAGTCGAGAACTTATGCTGCGCTGAAAATACATTCCCAGCAATTCGTAGTCACACCCTTGAACATAAGCAGGCCTCAGTACAGCTTACGCAGAACACTTGAACCGATGTGCGGCATTTGAATTATCACATTCCCCATGATCGATCTCCCGGTGTTTTCCATCTCATTAAGGTTTGCTTTTAAGGTCTTGGGGCCAACAATCAGAGTGTAAGTTACGTTTCTGTGCTCTCCCTTAGAGACCAGATCTGACGGTTGTGCGTTTTCCTCTTTTTCCCTTATGACATGAAAGTACGAATGAGGCAAAACTCTTCAGAGAGGGAGGAGGTGCTAATTGGGACCAACTCTCTCCTCTCTCATTATTCGCTTAACATGAAGACTGTAAGGATGATGACCAACACCTCCATGCTCTACGGACGCCTTGGAACACCAAGTGTTCTCTAGATCCCACCTCCCACCCAGCCTTTCCATTCTTTATCCCCCCTCTCATAAGTCGATGAACAGCTTCCAATAATGCGGGATTCTCACTCCAGTGCATTTCAGCAGATGATGCTTCATATGCAAGACGTGGTGCAGACTTATTCTGAGGAGTCCGGATCACTTTATGTGTGGCTTTCAAGACTTCCATCTATCGTAACCTCATGACCTCAGAGCCAATTCAAAATATCCCCTTATCTCATGCATCGAATCCGGTGGAAGCAAGTGTATCTCCAGGTCCACATCCTTGAACTGAGTATCGTACAGACAAGGGGAATTGAGGCAGGTGACCTCGAAAACCATCTGAACCTGACGGATGAACAGTTTGCCCATCACATCCGCATGCATGTTAAATTGTCAAGTAAGGCTCGAGTAGCGACCACTTTCTCTCATCAACATTTTCCCGCGAGAGGAAGGCGCACGAGTTATTTGGCCGACCGCCTACATGCTTGGGAGACCTCACAAGCAGTCAACAACATCCCCAGAGCTTGCAACCTAATGTGTCTTTCCCTCCTCAACTCTATCGAGATATCTGCCTCTACCAAGCATCAGTTCCAAGATCACAACAAATTTCAGGTTCGCTTCGACACGTTTGCTTCTCAGTCGCTGTTGTGTCAAACTCCCGGGACCATTCACAAACCAGGACTTGTGAAACTCTTCTCCGTACGTACAAAATTATGTCCAGAGTCAATTACGCCAAAGTCTGGCATTCCGCAGTCGACGTTCTTCAGATACACCCGACGCCCCATCATGATTAAGGTTCTTGGAAACCTAGAACGAGATCCTCACATCTAACCGCGATACATCTGCTCCTGTCTCGCAACCCCATCACAACGCATCTTCTCTTGACCACGTTATGAAAGACGAGGGACCAACTAACTTGCAACGGAAAGGAAATCCTCCCTGAATCAGAACCACACAATCCTTCAATATGCGCTCCTTCCAGACTGTCCTTGCCTTCCTCATAGTGGCCATGACCAACATGGCACTTGCTGGCCCCGTCATTCACGCCACGGCGATGATTCTGGCTACCACCCTCGTCGACACCGTCCTCTCCTCTGGTTTCCAGCACTCCGTGGTTGCCGCCCCTGACCGCATCCACTCCGGCCGAGCGTTTCCGTTCCGGACGAGCCACGAGACCAGCTGCTTCAACGCTTCCACCTTCACCCCCGCGGGAGGCGGCAACTCGACCTTGGTCCCATGGGCCGCCCTCGCGAACGAGAGTGACCCAGAGTCAGATCTCGCCGTGTTCTACGCGTTTACGGCCCTCTGCAAGAAGATCAGCGCCACGATCCTGACCCGTAACATACCGGTAAATGGTCCCCTTCGTCGGCCCCGTGCATTTCCTCAAATCAACCGTTAGAGTTCCTAACAGCCATTTTCTGTACCACGTGAATAGTACACCCACTGCGAGCCCGACACCTACACAAACGGCACGCACAGCATCATCGCGCAGCTGATGTACCTCGGCCCGCAGGACATCTTCGACATGCGCGGAAAGCACGATATCTGCATGGGGGCCATGAACCTGCCGCACGGTTGCACATACGGTGGCCTGTTCGAAGAGGTGCCGCTCTGGTACAACTCTCCTAATCACACGCAGTACTGCAACATCCAGGCACGACCCATCCTGGGCCCCTGCTCGGACTGCACCGGGGGCTTGCTTGCTTGAGATCCTTGGGAGGCCTTGAGCGTTGGGAGAGGACTGCGACGGGATAGGAGGTTTCAGTTTGGGGCTTGAGTGACGACTCGAAAGGATGGATGAGGTAACACGCTTCGGGCCGCTCTAGAGGCCCCAGTAGTAGATGAATTCATCCGGCGTTGCAATTTTCCGAAGACTTCCAGCCTCCATTGTGATATACTCTTTTCACATTTTGCCAAAGTGTTGTGGACTCCAAGGTCTGGGCATGCCAAACAGTAATCCGTACCCCGTGTCAATGTCTCGCCCACCCGGTCTAGAAAACAGTGCCGGGGTCGAACCCACGGAAAGCTACCGATTGGTGCCCGTACAGCGGAAGCGGGAGGTGATTGTGCCACCTCGGCTCGGTAGGGCAGCAGATTGCACCGCAGATGCTGCTACATGAGATGTGTGCTAGCGAGGCAGGATGATGAAATAGTAGTGCCAGAGCGATAATGTGCCGGTGGCATGCGGGCGCCAGGTGAGTCATGATCGTATGACTGGCTGGGCTATCACACACGCGGCCGATATTGTGGCAGCTCTGCCCTGTGAGACATGTCATGGCTTCTCCCGGTGGTGGCACCTCGAGTAATGGCCCTGCTCTGTCTCCTAATGGTCTTCTTCCCATATGCTGACGTAAACAGCATGAACGTATATCATCGGTGCGGCAGAATGAAGAAAGGCCCCCTTTTTCCCAAGTCGTCACGTTTGCCTTTGGTGATCACCCATTTGGTTTGCTACTGTGCTGCTAGTGGAGCTTGCAGCAACACATGAGAATATATGTATGGAGGGTTAATGTGCAGTGAGGACGACTGTTCAGATTGGAGCCGTCCAGTGGGTGGTGAGAAAGGCTTGTTGTGGGGGGTTTGGGGAGGAAGGAGGACGAGGGTTGCTTGGTGGCCACACTAGCTGCCACCATAGGCCCGTCCCGCGGTCATCGGTAGCTTCCGACAGGGGAAGCGGAACCCCCACACGGGGGGGTGTCGACGGGGGACCAGCAGTGAGCGACACAGGGACTCCGCACTTCAACAGGTCTCCACTGTGACACAATCACTGGCTGCAGCATGCATGCGAAAATCTGAGCTCGTCGTCAATGCCTCGGATGCATTTGCATTTCTCCGTCCCCATCCCAATCCACATCCCCTGCATCACATAAAGAGAAGCGGAAGCAGAAGCAACAAGCAGCAAACAGCAGGCCCACAGTGACATATCCCCTCCACCTGCTTCGCACCTTGCCCCCTCTCATCAAGTCGCGGTCCTATGCGGGCCTCGTGAGGAATCGAGAATGTCCAACGGAGCTTCGAGCCCGCTGGGCGGGAGCAGCGATGGCGACGTAGACATGGACACCGACACCCTCGTCAACGGCAACGAAGACGAGGCCACCCCGCGCCCCGAGCCCGTCAACGAGAATGCACCCGTCAACATAATGCCTCTCCTCGCAAGGCGGCAGCCCAAGACGGAGCGGCACGACGTGTGCATTGTCGGCGCCGGGCCGGCGGGCCTCATGCTCGGGTATGGAGAACCACCACCTAACTCTCACCCCGTCTTATCCAGTTGCGTCCCATCCCGGCACTGAATCCTGTCCATCCCGACAACCGCTCAAACACGCCCGTACTGACATGCACCAGCCTGGTTCTCGCCCGCTTCGGCATCATGCCGCTCATCCTCGATGAGCGCGCCGACCAGACCCCTGTAGGCCGCGCAGATGGCCTCCAGCCCAAGACCATCGAAACTCTCCGCATGCTCGGCTTGGCCGACACCCTGCTCCAGCAGAGCGTCAAGATCTACGACATCACCATGTGGCAGTCCCTGTCGCGGTCCGGCGAGTCCGAGCTCCGCCGGGTGGGTAGGGAGGTCCACTACCCTGCCTTCATCGTCGACCTGGTCGACCCCTTCGTCCTCATCGGCCATCAGGGCATGGTCGAGAAGGCCTTCGCCTCCGACCTCGCCAAGCGCGGCATCAACGTGCGGAGGTGCCACAAGCTGGACTCGGTCAGCGTCAAGGACGACGGCACCGTGGAGGTCCAGAGCCAGTTCAACGTCACGCGGGACCTGAGGGCCTTCGACGCCACCTACCTCGTCGGCTGCGACGGCGCCCACTCGCGGGTGCGGAAGATGATCGTCGGGCCGACGGATCCGGGCGCCAGGGACGACCCGGATGAGATGTCGGTCTGGGGTGTTCTCGACGGCGAGGTCGACACCAATTTCCCCGACATATGGACAAAGTGCGTCGTCTTCTCCGAGCAGCTTGGCAGCGTCTTGATCGTCCCGAGGGAGCGGGATATGACACGGCTGTACATCGAGATGAGGCCCGACGCCGACATAGGCGCGGCCGACTCGAACCCGGCCCGCGTGCAGGCCGCCATCATGCGCCGGGCCGCACAGATCATCGGTTCCGACGGAAGGGGCCCGTACCGGATCCGGTGGAGGCGGGTCGAGTGGTTCGGCCAGTACCGCGTCTCGCAGCGGGTCGCCCCCAGCTTCTCCTGCCCTGTACCCAAGCCGACAGAGTCAGCCAGACAGCAAACCCCCACACCCGACACCATCAACCAGGCCATCGACGATGCCGACAACGAGCACAGGATCTTCATCGCCGGCGACGCCGCCCACACACACTCGCCCAAGGCCGCACAGGGCATGAACACGGCCCTGCACGACAGCTGGAACCTGGCCTGGAAGCTCAACCTCGCGATCCGCGGCCTGGCCAAGCCCTCGGTCCTCCTCGAGTCGTACTCGTCCGAGCGGCAGAAGATCGCGCGCGACCTGGTCGCCTTCGACTTCGAGCACGCCCAGGAGATGTCGCGCGGCAACCCCGCCGCCCTGGCCGACAACTTCCGCAAGAACGTGCGCTTCATCTCCGGCGTGGGGTGCGAGTACGCGCCCAACGCGCTCAACCTGGAGCCCGAGGGCTTCGACGACGTCAAGAACGCCACCACGGAGGACGCGGGGGTGGCGGGCGGCGTCGGGCTCCCGCAGCTCGGCGCGCGGCCCGGGTGCACGCTGCCGCCGGGCAAGGTGTCGCGGTACATCGACGCCAACCCCGTCGACGTGCAGCTCGACATACCCGTGCTGGGCCAGTTCCGGCTGTACTTCTTCATCCCGGACATCCTGTCCCCGCCCGCGGCCGCCTTCCTGGTGTCGCTGTGCGGCGCCATCGCCGAGCCCGAGAGCCTCGTGAGCCGGCTGTCCGCCGCCGCGGGGAAGAGCTACCTCGAGAGGCCGCGGGTGCCGAGCAACGAGGACATCTTCAAGCGGCCGGAGAGATACATCGCCGTGAGCCAGTTGTTTGCGTTCGCGCTGATCAGTGAGTCTTCTATTCCTTCACCTGTCCCGACCCACCTCACCGTTCCAACAAATACAACCAAGCCGCAGGGTCCCATGACAATACTAGACACACTTCGCTAACATCAACCCTCCCCCCTTCCAGCATCAACATCAAAGCACCTCTTCGAGATCTCAGACCTGCCCGCCATCCTGGCCCGCTCGCCCTGGACAATCTACCTGGACGACATGCCCGACCTCGACACGCGCGGCCTGACCTGCACCGAGAAGTACCTCGGCGCGCCGCTGCAGGACGGCGAGGTCGCCATCGTCAACGTGCGGCCCGACGGCTACGTCGGCGCCGTGCGGAGGTGGGACATGAGCCTCGGCGCCGCGGCCGACGACGCCATCGAGACGGGCCGCGAGGCCGCGCGGTGGCTGGACGCGTACTTTGATGGGTTCTTGCAGGTGCCTGAGTCTTGATGACACGACGATGGCGACGACATCGACGGTGCTCGTGATGTGCATGGCCACCATGTCATGCTCACTCCCTGACTTTGTATCCGTCGGTGCTGGGTTTACAGTTGCTGACCTGAGCTGGAGTACTCGGCGTTGGAAATCCGGCGGTGGTGCAGGTATAGCCTCGCTGACACTCATGAGCTGAGACCCTGGAGACCCTGGAACCTCATCACGTCTCACCCGACAAACAAGTACACAGTATGGTAATAGACATAAAATTGGGCCCACTATGGAAAGCTCAGCTGACGAAAAAAGAAATACCTGCCATACATGAGTTCCAAAAAAAAGTCCTGTAAAAGTAGCAAAAGCACTTCCTGGGTTCATATGGTGCTGACACCAACCCAAGATTTTGTCTTCCCTCCAAAGTACCCACCCGAATGTTTTCCACGCCGAATCATGCAATGATACTGAGCAAGATGCACATTGCACAACAACCGTAAATGATGCACCGGCTGAGGACCAGGGATCTCCCATCCGCCACTTCCCCTCACACCTTGACCCGGAAGAGGTACCGAAGGCGTATCTGCGACACGTCATATGCAATGTACTCATTGTACTGCAAGTACGCTCCGAGTACCTTGGTCGGACCGGGCAGCTTTCGGCTCGTGTCGGGCATCTTGATGCCCTTCAGGGAGGAATGGACGCACTGCGCATCTTTCCACACCGGCGGACCCGTCAGGCCTTTTCCAAAGGTCGACCAGACTCCCTTAGCCTTGGCGTGACTCGCTGCATTATACTCAGCATTAGTGAGTTCTTGCATTGGTTTGCCCAGCTCGGCCTCGCACAGCAGGAGAAGCGCTGTGCCATCAGAGATACTGGGGACGCAATAGTTGATGCTCTTGCTGCTCATGTCTGCGAGGTAGATGCCTTTGTCAAACATGTATCCGGTGGCTGGCGCCTCTGGAGGTGCAATTCGGAGGCCTTGGCTCAAGATTCCACCGAAGTTGGTGGCGCGGGAGCCGTGCCACAGGAGACGGCGGTCAGAAATCTTGTCAGAGATAAATCGAGCCGTCTCGCCCTGACGCTCGATGCGGAAGATGTTCTCGATGCTGTAGTTCACCGCGTGCGTGTGACCTCGCGTGTTGACGAGGTACTCTTTCAGGTGCTTGAATTCGGTCCCGTTGGGGTCCAACGCTGTCATTTCCTCCATTCCGAGGCCACGATACTGTCTGTCCAGAGGATGCAGACTGTTGCGCTCATCAATCTCCGCCTTCAGGATGTTGGAGGCATCTTTCATGTCAGCCAAGGTCTCAAGAAGTTCTATTTCCCGCTTGACCGTCTCCTGATTATTGATGATCGGTGGGCGGTTGCGTCCGAAACTGTGTGGGATGAGAGAGTAATATCGGTTGGAGAGGTCTTCGACCGACATGGAGTTGCCAGCGGCGGTGGCAGCAGCAGGGTCATCCATGCGAACCGAGAGGTCCTTCAGAGTTTGAAAGCCACGCATGATGGTGGCCTTGCTGAGCTTTCCCAAGGGAAGTTTGTCCAGGTCATAGTTCATGTCAGTCATGGCTGCAGCAAAGTACTTTTGGTTGAAGATGAGCTGCATAAGCTGCTGGACGTCAGGCTCGAGGGTGCAAGGCGGCGGGCCTTCTCTTGTCGCTCCCTTGCCATCGGAGGGCTTGACGTCTTCCTCTAAGTCAGAGTCCGGCTGGTAGCTCTTCTCAAGGAAGACGTATTTCTTGGGAAGAGGTTCGTTCATGCGGTTTGCCCAGGACAGACCCGACTTGTCTCTGAACTTTTTCTCGAATTGGACCTTGGCATCGTGGAGGGAGCCGTCTCCAAGAATCATGTTCTTCCCACGTTCGCCAACGCGTCCCCACCTAGTCCAGGTTTTTGCATCTCCCGTGGAAACAAGGACCTACAGGAAGTTAGTCATGGGCCACGGCCAGGCCAGGTAAGAACACTTGAGCACGTACTTGAATTCGGTAGAATTTGTTATTGTTGGCTCCGGCATTGGTTTGGTTGAGGGAAGCGTCCCAGATGACACTATCTTCATCGACGTGCACACCATATCCAGCGAGAGAGCAGCCTTCATCAAGGGGTACCTGGACATCCCACGACTTCGCAATCTGCTCCTTTCCTATGACAGCAGCCTTGCCGTTTTGTGCGACTTGGTCGAGCTTCGTCTTTTTGGCATTGGGCTCGTGGCTCGAGTCCATGGCAACGGGGGATGCCTGCCGCTTCGTGGGAGGATTGTTTGTGGCAGCAGGAGGCTGTGCGGAGGGAGGATTGGTGGAAGGCGCAACGGTATTGTTGCCTTTCGTGGTTCCATTCTGGGAGGCATCATGAAAGAGGTACTGAGCTTCAGGTTGCTTTGCATTTGCCTGTTCAGAGTCAAGCAGCCACTCGAGGCTGACGATGAAAATGCCACGATCCTTGGCCTGCCAAACCTTGGTGCACAACTTGTCAAAATCGGATTGAGTCGTGACACAATGAGTGGTGTCTGCGGTGACGGACTTTGCGGGCTCCCCTCCCAAGCCGGCAACCTTATCCTCCAGAACGGACTGTCGATAGCCGGCGAACCTTCCACTAAAAGCGATCACACAGCTATCAAGTGCCAATGCTCCACTTGCTGGTGGGACTGAGGCTGCAGCCTTCTTTGCCTTGGGCGGCATGTTGGGTGTCCTGGCAACTGCGATGTGGGTCAGCAAGGTCAATCATACTGTATCCCCCTGACTAGAACAGCCATCGGACGAAGGGGCAGGATCAGGGTGCGAACCTTGAGAACAGTACGGGGATCCAATGGGTGGATGGTGAAATGGCGAATTGGCTGATCGGAGTCGATTCAATTGACCATGGGGACCGCTGTTGGCAGCTGCAGTGGGACCGGGCCCACGCAAGGGTAAGTAAAGGTGGCGAGGCCTTGCGAACGGAGAGCTCAACGGTCTCCAACACAGACAGGCTCGGGATGGTCGAGGGATCAAGTATGCAAAGTCAAAGAGAAGTGATTGGTATCGGGAGGGTGTGCAGAGAAGGGCACTTTTTAAAATGAGACAATGAGAGAGCCTGAGAAATTGCAGACGAGGTGTTGACATTCACCGTGACCGCGTTCCTGCCTGCAAGCTGCTGTGTGCAGCCCTTTCCCTTTCGGGCATTAAGTCTTAGGCTGCAGCAGGCAACAGCTCCCGCTACCCACTGTCTGTCTCAAACGAAGTGATGCCCCCCCCCTGTCGTTTTGATCAGCTATCCCCCCCCCATACCAAAATTTAGCTATAAACGCAGAATACATACTAAGATTCTTATAAACACCCTTATTAACGTTATTTAACGCACTTAATTTAATAAAAGAAAGGTTGTTATAATAAGTAGCTATTGCTTATTAAATATAAAATTATAAATATTGCAATTTTATTTATGCTTAAACTTATTGCCGTTAAATAAATAGCTATAAGCTAAATTTTAATGCAATAAAGCAATAATTTAATAATATTAAAAAAGAGTTATAATTATAAATATTATAACGCTAAGCATGCCCTTATTATTATTATTAAATGCCGTTAAATTAAAGCAATGGGCTTTAAAAATATATAATATTCTTTAGTATAATAGGCCTTTTAAGTATTATTAATGCCTTCTTATTACTATATAAGAGCTTAAAAATCTTTTCCTTAATAAGCTAAATATATACTTTAATAAAATGCAATGCTTTCTTACCAAGGTATATTAAATTAATTGCTTAATAAAAACTATTATAAAAGCCCTTAAGGTATGTAATTAAATTAATAAGCAGGTATATATATTAACCTAGCAATATAATAAAAACCTTTAAAGCTATTATTTTTTTAAAATCTTTAAGTTATAGCATATTATTAAGATATTTATTTTTTATAATAAATTAAAACTTAATAAATATAATAATATAAAAAGAATAGGCTAAGCATTATTAAAATATACTCCTTAAGTTAAAAATTTTTTTAAGCAAGGCACTTACTTTTATTTATTGCTAATAATTATAATTAGCAATCTTTTTAATATTATAATATATAAGGGGTATATTATAAAGAAGTTCTTTTTAATATAGCTTTTTAAAAAAGTTTTCCTTTAAATAAATGCCTATTTAAGCCCTTAATTAATCCTTATAATAAATAACGCCTTATAGTATTATAATTACGCTATTTATATAGCTATTAAAATAAGGAATATTTAGCTAATATATTTACCGCTATATTTCCTTAATTTTAACTTAATTAAAATATATTTTAAGGATTTAAAAAAGTATATTTATTATTAATATTAATATAAAATAAATAACTATAATAGCGATAAGAAATTTATAAGTTTTTTATACTTAAGCGCTTTAAAGATTGGCTAATATATAAAGGCAATTAAGAAATATTTCCATTATGCATATATGCTAAAGAAGAGATTTAAGAGTAGTAATAATAATAAAGGGCAATAAAAATACTATATAATTAAAAAAAGGGCAAAAGAAGCAGCATTAATAAAAAGGAAAGAGTATTATAATAAGGTTATTTATAGCAAGTTTTTTAATAATAAGAAAGTTAATAAAAAAAGAATATTATTAAAGCAATTAAAAAAAAATAATTAATAATTTACTATAAGAAATATATTTAATTTTCTTAATTAACTCTTTAAATACTTAAATAAATACTTTCTTTTTATATATAATTACTTTATTAACTCTTTTGCTAATTATATTATTCTTTCTCTTATAAATAACATTAATTAAATACTTAAAATTTATTAAAAAATACCTTAAATTTACTTTTTAATATTAATATATTATTAGCTAATGTTAAAAGGCTTTTTGCTTATTAAAAATTATAATTCTTATTTTACGCCGGCATTAACGGTAGCAGCAAGCCCTCCTTTTCCTTATTGCTTTTAAAAAACCTAAAAAAGTCTTTCCTTTCCTTTAGGTATAGCTTTATAAGCCTTTTAACTAATTTAATACCATTTAAGCCCTTTTTATTAAATTAAATATCCTTTTTTAAGTATAAGGCTTAAAAATTAACGCCCTTATGCTTTATAATCTTTTATAACTTTATTAATTACCTCCTTTTTGCTAATATATAAAAATGCTTTTATAAGGCCTTAAATATAAAGTCTTTATTAAGGGCCTTTTAATTATTAAATACTTATAATAATAATAATAAAAGCATAAGCAATTAATAATAATATATAGGGCTGCCTAGGTAAGAAGCTATTAGCGTTGATAATATTAGCAGCCTTTTAAAGCCCTTTAATGAATATGCTAATAAAGGCGCTAATAGCATTAATAATGGCATTGCTAAATACCTATATTTAAAGCTAAGGGCATAAAGATTAATTAATAAGTTAACCATTATATTAATACCGCTCTTCCTTTGCTTATTGCCCTTTCTAAGCTTTTTTTATTTGCATATAAGGCTAATATCATTATTACTAAGTTTTTTATTATTCTTATTAACTTTAATAGCATTTATTTACTTAATAAAAAGCTCTTTTAAAGGCCCTTAAATAGCAGCCTTGCTATTAATTATTACTTATACTTATATATTTAAATTAACATTAATAATATTTATATGCATATTATTTTTCTTAATATAGCATTATTATTATAAAAAATCCCTCTTATTATAATAATAATAATTAACCTTATAATAAGAACCCTTAAAGCATTATTATATTTGCATTAGCTTTTTATAAGCCTTAAAAATAAATAATTAATTGCTATTTATTATAATTACTATATAAATAATAATTAACTCTTTTTAAGGGCTTTAAAGTAATAATAACTTTTTTATTAAAAAGATACTTTTTAAGTACTTAGCTGTTAATAAATTATTTATTAAGCTAAGCATTAACTTTATTAATAAAAAAAGCTTAAAAATCTTAATATTTAATTGCCTTAGCGTTATAATGCTATAAAGCATTATTTATATTACTAAGAATATTACTTTATAAGTATATATAATTATAAAATAATAAAAACCCTTGCTTAATAAAAGTATCTTTATAATTTTATTGTTAAAAAGTTTTCCCTTAAGATGCCTTTTAATTCTTTTTATTATACTTAATTAAATTAAAAATATTTTTATTTATAGCTAATAATTTACCTTAAATAAAATTTATAATAACTTAATTATTATATTTTTTATATTAATAAGCTTAGCCTTAATTTAATTCTTTATCTTAAAAAAAGCTTATTAAGTAATAAATTAATATTAAAAGCCTTATATTTATTATTATTAAACTTAAAGCTTTATTGCTTTATTAATAGCATTAAAAAAGCCTTTATGTTAATAACTTTTATATATAATATTAAAAATGCTTTCTTTAGCAACTTTCTTAATAAGGAATGGCTTCTTAGCTTTTTAATATTGCTACTTTTAGCATTATTAATTAATAGCGATAATTTAAATATACTTAATATTTCTTAGCTAATATAAGCACTTTTAGCTTTATTTAAGCTGCTTAAAGCGTTATTTTTATTAAAAATGGCTTTAAGGGTAACCTTCTTAATATTCTTAATAATATGCTAAGCAATATATTAAGTAGCTATATTTATTTTAAAAGGGCTTTAATTAAGCTGCTAGCTTTTATTTTATAATAATAATAATCTTTATCTTTATTATTAACTTCTTTATATATAATAATGCTATTAATTAATTAATATATACTTTATTAATAAAGTAAATAACTTAATGTTATAAATAAATATATAATTGTAATAGCTAAGCTTTTACTTTTTAAGGGCCGTTAAAATAAGTTACTTATTAATTTAAGTAGGTTATAATTACCTTAAGCTAAGGCTAATAAAGCATATATCTCTTAATATAATAAGCTTAAATTAATTTTATTACTCTTAATTATTTTAAAGATATATATAAAATAGGGTTATTAATGCAGTCGCGAAATCTTCCGCTGCGCCAAAAGGGAGAGGGACCCACTGGTTGCCCAGGGGGCTCTTTTGCAGGCTTATTAAGGGCATAATAAGCCTACCACGCTAGGCTTCAGGGGCATACTGCATCAGTTATAATAACTTTTCTTTTGTTAAATTAAGTATATAATAACGTTAATAAAGGTATTTATAAGAATCTTAATGCGTATTTTGCGTTTATAGCCAAATTTTAATGCGAGGGGGGACAGCTAACCAAAACGACAAGGGGGGGGCATCACTTCGTTTGAGACAGACAGCAGTTCCCCCCTCACCCCTGCCTGGCAACAAAGACAGTGCTCCTTCCATTCACGTCACGTACTCACGTGTTCTGTCCTACATTCAGTGCAGCCACGGGTCGCTGCAGCCTTGTCCATCTTTGCCTGAAGTTTTGGGGTGAAGTGGGAATTTTATCACTTCCACCTGTACCTCCCAAAAACACTGTAACACAGCGACACCTTGGGTAATTATTATCTGTGCTCGCTCTCCTCTTCTGCACAAACTCTCCTCTGCCCACAACAAGGCCACCACTGGTCATCCTCTCAAAGCCCCTGCGAACCACTTTGTCCAGCTGCACCCCAAACACACTGCTTCCCACATCAAGATGGTGTCCCAGACTTCACAGCTTGTCAAGCTACCACGCGAGCTTCTGGACAACGTCACCAGCTCGTTGCCCACACAGGACTTCAACACACTTCGCCTCGCCTGCAAGGACCTCGAGACCCAACTCTTCGAATACTGGGCCAATTGCTTTTTCAAGAAGAGGCAGTTCAGTAAGCAACCATATCTTTGCGATCCCCCAACTATGTTTCTGAGTGCCAAATGCCAAGTACTGACCCATTGTAGTGATTGATGAATTCTCTCTGCAGACTCTTGTCGACATTTCACGTCATGATGCCCTGTCCAAGGTCATGACTCACCTCGTCATTGGTCTTGATGAGATGCGAGCTTTCAGCAGCCAATCATCACACCTGCATTCCTTCGTCGAGTTTGATCGATGGCGAGCTGCTGACTGTGCCCAGAAGGCCCTTCTTTATGGAGGTGGCGCAGCCGATCTTCTGTCACAAGCCTTTGTCAACCTACCGAATCTCAAGATCATTGATATTCGTGACTTCAACTCCAACACTCGCTATCGAGATGCCGCCCCTGGCAAAGGGGTGCCTCAATGGCGCTCCTATGGCTCATCCCACTATCAGCAGTGGTCCCGTGAAACGCCCTGGCTCATGAGTCTCAATTCTCCGACAAACTTCACTGACACAGTATTCCTTGTCGTTCTTACTGCCGTTTCCCGATGCTCAACAACGGTGCAGAATCTAGAAGTCATTCTACGCAATCGGCAGATTCATCTTGGAGACGATGCGTTCAGCATCTCTCGTGTTCCGGACAACCGCCTGGCCAACACCCTTCGTGGTCTTACCAAACTGCATCTTGACCTGGATGCGCGTGGCTCATGGATGTCTGGACGCCAATACCCTCTGAGAATGGTCATGCCTGAGCACGACTGGTTCGATCCACACACTGCATATCTGCGACGTTTCCTTGCGCTTACACCCAGCGTCACATGGCTCAGGCTGAACTTCACTCCCTACCATGGCAGCTCGTCAATCACCTCTCCCTCAAGGCTGATCGCGTGGCTGGGGCTGAAATCCGACTATGCCCCCCCATCAGATGCACCCTGGAGGGAAGGTAATCCGCCCCCTGTCACGCTCCCGTTACAAAGGTTGGACCTTGGAAATCTCACAACAACTTCGGCTACCCTTCGTGGACTGCTCAAAAAGTTTGAGAACCTCGAGCACATCAGCATGAGGGCTGTTTGGTTGCGAGATCCTGCGGCCACCTCTGACTCGCATCTGCACCACACAGACAACAATGGTGACTGTTTGTGGGCGAGAGTCATTCGCAGCCTCCATCACACCAACCCAAAACTGAAGCAGGTCGAACTGGATAACGTCTTGCAAGAAACATCTGGCAAACGCAACGCCATCGTTTTCTACAACGAAGACAAGCCTGCGGAGTATGCTGTTTCCACCAAAACCCGAGTCATTGATACCACAACCTTAGAGCGGCTCGCTGAAAACACCTGGACCGAAACCCGCTGGTACAAATCGCAACGAAATGGTGAAAGCATGGATGAGGATTCACTGGATGAGGACTCAGCGGACGTTGACATCGACGATGAACTAGAGATAGACACCGACGGAGGTGAGGCAGATGAGTGAGCATGCCACAAGAACACCTATCAGTACTGCACCACATTCTCATATCATGGAAGGATTGTCGTTATCTCGAGGATTATTTCTATGGTTTTGATGGCGACCACTCTACCCTCTTTCTTTGGCTCTCCTGACAGAAGAGCCCGTCAGTTCAGTGGGCGAGGAGATATTCTTGGAAGGGCTTGTTCAGGTAGCATCCCGTAGATTATCAACTGGGAGTATTTCCAGCGACACGCCATGTTCTTGTTGCTTTTGCGAATGTGCTAACCCACTTTGAGGCGTCAGGAGGGGTACCAGAGGGTTTAGGCCGTGGTTAGCATGTCTCCTGCACCCGCCTTAACATATCAAAATAAGCATGGTCAGATACATTCTTCCAGTGCAGAACGCTCCAGTATGTCATCACACCACTGACGCGGGCAAATCAATCAGCCGGTTGCCCGCTTGAGTATGGCAGGGTAAAGATCACCAATGACATCGTCACATTACAACATTTTCTTCAATGGTTTGGCTCCAAGATCCACCTTGACGATACGATGAAATCCATCGACAGAGGTGCACCATCACAGGAACATCGCGACCCACCAAAGTCAAGGTGGAGGAAATACCTGCGCGATGGCAGTCAGTCCCTATTAGTTAGCGATTAAGTGGCTACAGCACAGGGCGTTGATGAACGCGGATATGCCTTTCGGAAGCACCCGATTCTCAGTGGATGCATGCCGATGCGCAGAATGCAATGATGAAGGGGTTGCTCAGCTATGAGTTGGCCTGCAGGCGATACATCCAACTACTGCTGACAGAGCCCACGAAATGCAATGCCCAATGCGCTGACATTCGACTGAATCTCGTCCACCATGAGGTCTCCAAAACCGGTAGCCCGCTAGTGTATTTCGACAATACTGGAATCATGGGACATGTTTATCGACGAGTACAAGACGTTCGTGGTGGACAACACTTGGCTCGGTGCTCTAAGAGTAGTTTTATGTGTACCTCTAATCTTGAACGTTCCTCCGTAGAGATATCTTCAGCAGAGTGCTTGACTATGAAAACAAATCCTAGGTACGCAGGGTAAGTAAGTACAACCCATTTATGTCCAGCCTCTCTCGTATTCCGCATCATGCGCTTTCCATAAGACTCTGACCCAAACTTGATCCCGTGGCAGTTTGTGTATGGCATTGAGTTACAGTTGAGGATGAACAGCCTGGAGGCCGGCTTGCTAAACCTGACCTTTCAGTCAATGCCATGATGCAATTGTAATCGCTCTGGCCGACTATGCATCAAGTCAAAGTCAGATGATCTCATTCTTGCTCGCTACTTTTGCTCTACAAAATGCGCACCCAGCCTTGAGCACCTCGTCGTGTTCCATTTGCTACCTGCGTCTGAAATCCCGGTATTGCCGACTAGTTCTTTGCTGTCTTGTTAATTTGTGATCTTTCCGTCATTGGTCTCAACCTGGAGATCTAACTTCCTCTTATTGCCTCAAGTCTGGCCCCAAAGAAACCGAGCGAGAGACCAAGGCTCAGGCGACGGCGCCGGCGCAGGCGGGGGCTTTGAACGTAGCTTGATGATCTCAGCTTCAAAATGCAACAGCAGCTTGACCATCAGTGTCAATTCTGGAAGGTCAGCCCGGTGGGTGTGTGGGTTCACGAGGGGCAGCACGAGAGTGGCATCCCTGGCCGCCCACTCGATCACCTGCGACACATCGGAGACCAGCGCCTGCCACCCTTCCCTTGCCTCAGCTGAATCAGTCCAGGTTTCTAGTAGATCCCATTTATAAATAAGCCTGGCCCCTTCGATCAGACTCCATTCGACTGCAATCATTGTCAAGTAGAGCGCTGTGTTTGTGCACGAGCCCCAGCGGGCCTCCTTCGCTGTGCCTGCAGCATGGTAAAATGAGTAGCAAGCGGCTCGATTGCATGCTTTGCGTATTTCTGACAAGTGATTGCGCCACCAGGCACCAGGCCGACCAAACCATCCATCCCGACCAGACAATTCAGGGTACAAGGGAGGGTTCAACGGATTGTACAACGGAGTGCTCTGCCGGCGTGGTAATGCCAAGCAGGTGTAGGATATCCCTTTCACAGGGCCGTACACCAGGTATTCATAGTCAAATTCGAAGCGAGTATGGCCTTCCTTTCGGAGTGCGCGCACATGCAGAATTGCATTGCCATGATCGCGGCGAGATGTGTCGAAAACCCCAACATGACGATGGCGACGAACGAGCCCATCACGCCCACCCCATGAGTAGCGGATAGCAGTCTGGAAGTCGGCCGTCCACGAGCTGAAATGCGAAGCGATGTTCTTGTTTCCATAGAGGTGCCTATTTATCTCGGTTTGAAATGTTCCAAGCGACATTGAGTTGAGAGTCATTGGGCTCGGACCAGATAGGGTGTCTACGCCGGATCCGACCGATTTTTCATTTTTGATGTCCACGAACTTTCCAAGGAATGCGTGGGGAGTGATGGCTGTAGGGGTGTTCAGTTCTTTGTTGCCACCTGAGTACTCGTTGAAGCCCCTGAACAAGAATCGCGGGGTGGCTGAGTTCCAGGCTGTTCAGGTACATCAGTTTGCAAATCACACCATGAGAACACTGGGAAGCTATACAGTCGGTACACTTACCTCGGAGCTTCGTCAAATGGGGAGGTTCGTAGCTAGCCATTGTCGGTCTCTTGTGCTGTCTGGTCCGGTGATGGAGAGATCGAAATAGGGCTCAAGATTTGGTTTTCCGTAGCTTCTTATAATTGCGCTCACCAAAATCTTCGAATCCGGAATTGTTATTTCGAACATCGATTCTGACACACAGGCTACCTGAAAAGCTAGTTGGATATGATGATCCAGCCTGTGCAGTCACGGACAGAATGCAGTTGACAAACCCTGGCAACAAGACATTGTTCATGACTGAAAGCAATGTAAAAAAGTGGATTGCGGCCCTTCGATTTGGAAACCAGGTGATAAGGGCAGCCTACGGAGGCAATGTACAGTTGAGAATTTCCTCAGTAAACGGAAATGAGACTCAGGTCTCCTTCAGCTATGATGTCTGTCCGTGCTTGCCTCTTTGACGTCGAAATAGAGTGGAGCTCCGCAACTTGAATGGTCGAATTCCAAGTCAAAACAGTGAAAATATGCATCTATTGTTCCCTCGTATCGCGTTTCAAATTACCAACAAAGCCAGTACAGTCAACTTGGTATCAGCCTTGACTTTTTGATGATTAGAATAGATACATCGGCTTATATTCGGCATCAGCCGGACCAGCCCCAAATCGAGTCTGCCTGACTCCACACAAGGCAACCTTTGTATACACAATATGATTTATGTACTCGAAACCAGTGGTAGCCTAGAGGCCTGTGATGCGACGCCTTTTTGACCTTAATTAGTAAAATTGTAGGAAAAGATAAGGCGCCCTCACTCGCCTCCTTGACATCCCGAATGGGGTCGTCAATCGCAGCCATTACCTGAAGGTTGTCGTCAGCGGGGCCGGCCATTCCTCGAGCATGGGATCAGAAAGCTCCTTCAAATCATTCTGGCCGATGACCATCTACAGCCGCATCTTCTCAAACTTGTTGAGCATTGTGGATCTGTATCTACCAACCTCATGACATTTATCAAGCCAGGACACCCGACATCCGCGAGCATATTATGTGTTGTTTCATTCCAGAATGCGTTGGGTATCTCTTGCTTCGGGAATGTGGCCTCCCAAGCACTCATGATTTTGATAAGCCTGCTCTCCTCCCCAGCTCTAGTCATGATAGAAGCACCGAACGGGCACATGTTCGTGTTGCGGCACCCAATTGGCACGGTTGCAATCACATAGTCTTCTGAAAATTCAAATTGAAGCTTTTGTATGCACTCTCCGTTGTTAACACTGCTGAACGCCTGGACGGTGACTCGACGCAGGTATGTGAACAGCTGTGTGCAAATTTCTTAAGAATAGAGCCCATCGATGTTGGCGAAGAGATCTTCTCAAGGAACCCCTAGATTGCCTACTCATCGTACTTCATGGAGCGAGACGGTCTACCACATTCGAGACTGTTCATGTAAAGTATGGGCCGACTGGTCTTGTATAGTTCAGCTGTTGTCGCTTCGATGCTACCTAGGTAAGAATGCAATACTTCAGTATCATCATCATGATGGTCCTTGATCAGCAACTGAGTGCAGACCAGTTCGGTCTACTAGACTTCAGTCAGCACCCACTCAGGGTTGATCGCCTGAAGTAATTTGCCACATTGCAGCAGCTTCGCTCATAGATCTCATGGTTGCCTTGGTAGCTAAGCTCCCGGGCCTGTTGCATTTCCTTGTGCCTTGGTATGCCAACGTGACCGTGACGACACGAAAAAATTTCTTTCTTGGGAGGCGGGTTCGTTGAAAACGCTCACCGAGTGCTTCGAGGTATGAAACACAAACCTCTGCATTTCAGAGGTGTGAATGTCATGATCATCGCCCTCTAGATTGGCAACTGGATCAATATTGGGAAACGCAGGCCTGGTGGAGAACTGAAGATCCCGAGAAACAAACAAGCTGCTCGTGAGAATCGTCACAGGGAGCTCAAGGCGGGCACAGGAGTGGAGACTCCGTAGAGTGTGTGATGTGTCGTCGACGTGCGGAATGCCGCGAGTTATTAAATGCTGTCCAATTTACATGCTGGGGTCCCTCCAGGGCACCTCCTTTATTTTAATCGGTACAACTGACTTTAATTGTCCTCCCAGTGATGAAGCGTGTTATTAGTCTCAATAAGGTGACGCCCTCGATAATCCTTCAGACTGAATTTCATGACGAAAATGGATCGTCGGCGAAGCTATAATCACGCATGTTAGCAACTAGGGAGCGCTGTAATAAGAGGCAGATACTCACAAGGTGTTGCCTGTGCCATCGTCGCAGACCAATCGACCTTGAACAGGACTGCACTGAGCGCCATCAAGAACGACTCGCCCTCCGCTGTTGTCCTTGGCGGGAACGGATTGTGGTGTAGGAGCTGCCATCGCAATAGATGCGATGCTGGCGAAAATAAGCAGCATGGACTGAAAGTACATCATGGTTTACGTTGTGATATTCTGATGATCAAATTGTTGAATGAGGTGATTAATGTGAGGAGGGTTGCGATCGAATTTCCAAGTCGTATACTTTGGCAGAATTGAGAGTTGAAGAGATGAGTCCAATAAATGCTTCGAGGAATAACGAGGCCCCAATCAGTATTTAAGTTCGAAGATGCATTTCTCATTCGTACGAATTTGGTCAAAGGGGCGTGAACCTTGTTCTCCTTCGGTCGACATGAGACGAGCTCCTGAGGCGAGTGAAACGAGCACCCCGACCCCACACTCTCTTGGCCTTTTCTGTCTCAGAATTCTTCCACGATTCACTAGGCGAATGCACAGGTACGAGGTCCAATTCATTTCGGCTGTTCCAACCCTGCGAGACCACATAGTCGTTTCAGCACACATTAGTACACGCTTACCATGGTACAGTCAGTGGGTCTTTCCCAAGTTCCCCTGTACCTCTACCCTGCGTACTTGCACAAGCGTCTACACTACTGGATCTTGGAGTTGCACCGTTTCAATTGGAAGTAAGAAGTCACTTGCATAAAGATGCCTGTACTTCGCTTGCACACGATTGTCTATCCTGGGCGTCTTGCAGCCATCCGTCAAAGACAGCACCAATCAATGCTAAGCTGCGCCCCTCGAGAGGACTGCTGATGATTAAGTTGACCAAATAATGGGCTGCCAAGCCGTTCCAGGTGCAGGGAAATCTTGATGAGCCGGAAAAGCCACTTTCATTGACAGAAGGATACAGAGAGAGTATATCCTGTGATCTTAAACACATAGTATGACTGCATTGCGAGTATATGAAGTGGATAATAAGAGCGAAGGGACGGTTGAGATATAATTGTATTGCTATCACGACAACTGGTTCCGTGCACCTTGAGTAATCCCAAGCTCGCCTTGATGTGTAATGCCTGTGACGAGGTCCAGAGTTGCCGTTTGGTTGTTGGCTACACCTGGGGCCGTGCCGCTTGCATCAGCGAAAGGCCGCAAACCACGAGGCCACCCGCAATCTGGCCAAGCATAGTTGCCCCCCCCCTCTCCCCGTCCTCGCTCCCCCAAGCCCCCGGCCCTAGGTACTGGTGGCGATCTGCCTACCTTCGAGGAAGCCTGCCACATCTAGGGTGATGTGCAAGCCGTGATGTGTAGGTGCGTAAGTTACTAGTCTCTACCCAGGCTCCAATCTGGAGCCCGTCCGAGACTGGATACATCCGCCCAACTGGTACGTGGCAGACAGCTTATGCTCTCGATCCTAGCGATGCCTCGAGACCTATTCAGTCCAGCGAGCAGGAAGGTGATGGCCTTGTGGGGACTAGTCGCATCCGGAATTTACTCGGTCATATTCAGTAAGTGTATTCCAGGTCGTGTTTCAGTATGCTGATAGAGTAAAATGTAAATGAGAAGGGAGGTGTCTAAAATTGCGGGTCTTACTTGTTATGTTTTGACCTGCAATGCTTCTGTGTCCCTCTCATTCACTGACCAGTTGACCCTTGGGCGATCTTGCGTCCCTTTCCTCTTTTGACAGCATCGAGGTACCGCTAGGACCTTCTTTCCTGTATAATCTGCTGGGTCCACTTGAAACGGCAGATACGTGTTTGCATAATAACCATTATCATCATCCATTTCGATAATGTTGATCTGCAAGACTCCAGGATCGAGATCGTTGGGCGGGACTAGATGGTCAAACGTAACACCATAGTAGTCAATAGTATTGTTATCACAGAAGGCTTCCATTTTAGCTTACTACCAATATAAAGATAACAGATTACTGAGATTGAGATTGTAAATACCCACTTCTTTGGTACATTTCCTTCCATCACCCACCCCAAATATTCATCCCGGACGATTATATCACCAAGAACCTCTGGACGTATATCTATCCTGTATAGTGCCTGGTAGGTTAACTTTGCAAGCGCTTCCCCACCAGGCTGTGGGAATTCTTGTGATCCTGCTTTGAAGTGCCATGAACGGTCTGGGACAAGCTTCTGGATAGAAACTAGGGGGCCTTCAATCTGAACTCGCAAGGGCCGGTCCAGAGGCTGGGGGTGAAGAGCGTGGGCGGGGTCGTGAATGCATGGTGGGATGCAGAGCTTGAGAGCCATGGGGAGATGCGATAGAATGAGTGCGGCTCTTTGATTCAGAGTGTTGATTGTACTAGTAGGGGTGCAAACGCCGGGCGCGTGGATGCAGTGTATGTAGAGTGAATTTCAAGCAAAGAATGTTTGTAACGGGACCCCTTCCCCGCCCAACAATCTGCCCTGACGTATGCTTCAGGCGCCACGGCAATCAACCAGAGTGTAACTGTAAATATACCCCTGTCAAGAACAGTATTTTGGGACTGTGTTCTCGCAAGAAGCCTTTTCGCTCGTCGACCGATGCTGCCAGCATTGATCTGATCCCAGGCTGGTAATCGGATCACAGCGCTGCAGGCCCCAGGAAAACCCTGTAAATCAATGGAGTTGTACCCAGTGCCCCGCTGAAGGGAATGATGGCTTGATACTGAGAGGGAAGGGCGATGGGCAAGGCTCGAGTGGGATGCACATTTCGTGCAAGACATATTTTCTGCCAGGGATAACTTGTCGGGCACAAGCCACCTTCACAGTGTTGCAGCTACGCCGTATACAGAATATTGTGACATGTTTCCAGGCAGGAAACGGCCGTTTCTCCATCCCACCCAACTGGTGTTGGTGTGTGCTGAAATTCGAATAGTGGCGTACGTTGGAACATCATAAGCCAACACCAACACCAACACCAGGATGATTTCGACCATGAAATTGGCCAGTGATCCCAAAATCACAAAACCCACGTATGCTCTTGCCAAGATGTTGGTGAACCCCAAACTTAGATTGTTGGCATGCAGTCTTGTGCGATCGGTGGCACACCAGAAAGCAAAAGTGTTGTTGGTCAACCAGAATAAAGGCATTTTTGCCTTGTTAGAGGAACAATGGTAGGCACTGCATGAGAAATAAAATCCTCGGTAAATACTCATGTTTGATTTTCGTGGTCTGATGAAGTGGGGTTGTCATGATGGTTTAGATTTTGCTATCGATGCTGTACAGGAAACCGTCTCTGCTCTCACCTTGCCACACACATTTGAGGAATGCCCATGATTAGGCATCTGGAGATGCAGCCCATGATGGTCGGATTGTACCCGGAGTTTAACGATTGTGGTCGCGCAGGCAACTGGCACAGTAGCTGTCCACAACGTGCGGTATACTAGACACGGTATAGTTCGCACATGCCACACCTTCCCCTTCAAGTTCTAGACAAGGATCAAGGTACATTTCCTGCTTCCATACCCCAGCTGTATAAAAGTACCCGACTTTGTGGAAGCATTTGTACACCTTTGGGTGATCGGTACACATGTTTCCTGCTTACGGAAATCTGGGGTTTCGCGACAGACTTGTGTAAGGTGGTACACAGCTTTGATTACTGAGAGATGATCGTTGTCGAAGGTAATGAAAGAGCCTTCTATGAAGTGTGCTCGTGAGATATTTCCGTAGACCAACTGGTCTTTACCTGCCGATTTTGATGGATGGGCTGCTCTGTCTTGCTCTAAATTTTAGCTGAGCTCCCATCGCCTTTTCTTTAGTAGGGCTTACATTGGGTTGTTCTGTGCTTTGGCCTTCTCAGGTGTTGCTTAAGGAGTTTCTGACATTGGTATTTTCGTCTTGGTCGCTCATGAAGCAGGCTTTGTTGATGTTGGGGTATTTGAAAAGCAGTGAAGGACAGAGAGCCAGTGGCTGTCCACCTTTTTATATTTCCCCTGGAGACTGGACATCTTCTCATGAGACCCAATCACTCAGACGGGTTATAAACAATGGTATGTTGGTCAACATACCACGGAGTGCTTTTGGTGAGTTGGCCGTATTCGAAGTGACTGCCCTGTGGTCCGGATGTAGTGCAAATGACTGCTGAAAGTCAGTCACTTCTTGCCACATGGGACTCACACTGGAGCGCTCGGCTCCCAATCATATGAGATGAAAAAAAATGCGCAACTCATAAAGACACTGTGAGACAAGACAGGTGCCTCAGCCTGGGCTTCGGCTTCTGCCCTGACCCCAGCATACCATGCGGCCTTAGCTTGTAGTTAGGCTACCTCATCTGGGGCATCAAGTCACGAGCCAAGCCACGCCATGCCGGTATATTTTCATTTCTTTGAAATGGCGTGAACATGTTATTCAAGCTGGTCTCATGATTTTGCATCCGGTGGCTGTTGGGAATGGCCGTTGGTACCGGGTGTGAAACAGAGGTCGTGAGCACTATTCAACCACCTATTACAGGATCAATTTGGTTGGCGATTAATCAGTTGGACTTGGTTGCAGCTAAGATGCTCATCAGAATGAGGCACAGAAAAGTGCACACTGGTTCCGTTACTATTCGACGCTGAACTGGAAGAGTACCTGGTCGTACTGGGCACAGGTTTGGCCGCCGGATGTCGGCACCGAGGCTGGTGGTTGGCTGGTCCCCAAGCAATTCTAGACATTTCCAGTCCTCACCGTTGCAGCAAGTGGAGCAGGGTTCCGGGATTCCACGCATCATAGTCTTGTCATCTCGATTCCGCAGGCCGCCCTCCATCACAGGAAGTTTAAAATGGTCCTAATGCATAACCAAAGCGTTGAGCTCTCATTTTTATTTCTTCGCAATGTGACCTTGCTTGCTTTTGTTCTCTAACTGGACCTACTTTGGCCACTACAGAGTGGTGTCTGCACCCTGGACAGTATTTGAGGCTTCAGCCCTCCCTCGCTCTTTCTCCACCAGCATTGACTGCGAGCAGCGTGCTTAACTTGCACACCACATCTACCAAAACACCTAGTGTATCTAGACACTCTCATCCGTGACGGGTTGAGCAGAGTGAATCATGTCGTTGGCTCAACGCCGAACAGCGCCGGAGGGCATCGACACCGTGCCAGAGTACGATGTCCACGAGAATGGCAACCGCCAAATCTACGGGGACAACATCCACGACGATGACCGGAGAGGTGGCGATAGCACCCAAGACACGGCCGTACAGTTTACCAAAAACGACGAGATCTGGCGTACCATCAGCTACGACCCATTCGCGCCAAAGCCGCTTCAGCACTATGAATCATTCCCGCCTGAGGTGACGGAGAATAAAGCGGCGTACGAGGTATCCACTACCAAGAGGGCAGGTAAGTAATGAAATTTGTCGTGCTAGGCTTTCCCAAACGTCGTCTTCGGGGCGCAGACTGACATCACGTAACAGCCCAAGTCGCCTTGGCCGTGCTCTGCTGCGTCCTAGCATCAGGGACAGTGTGCGGGTTCGCAGCACTCAAACCGATTCTCATCGCCGAGGGGGTTTACCGCTCCCTCTGCCCGGCGGATTGGTCACCCTCGGACGGGGACGAAGGCCAGCTGCCCTGTCCAGAGCAGGACATGCGCCTGAATTTGATGTTCATCCTCGCCTCGATCACGCTGAACATTAGCAACATGCTGGGCGGCTGGGTCCTAGACAATCACGGGCGGCGCATGTGTTACGTCCTCGCGGCGGTGATCCTCTTCCTCGGCAGCGGTTGCATGGCCCTGGCCTTTCAACTGGGCGAGAGACTCGGCCACTTCGACGGGTACATCGTGGGCAACCTCCTCCTCGGGCTGGGCGGGACGTTCCTCTTCGTCAGCTCGTACCAACTGTCCCACGCCTTCCCAAGACATTCCGGGCTCATCGTGGCTCTGGTAACAGGCGCCTTCGATGCAAGCGCAGCAGTCTACCTCTTCTACCGACTCGCCTACGAGGCCACAGACCACGTAATCAAGCCGGCCTACTTCTTCGCCGCCTTCGCCGTCCTCATCCCCATCCTGATCCTCACGGGCGAGTTCACCATAATGCCGGCCACGAGCTACGTCACCCGCGGCGAGTACCAGGTCGCAATCCACCGCGCGCAGGACGAGACCCGCGACGTCCACGACAGCGACGACGAGATGTATGCAGATCAGCCCCGCGAGCTCCTGCGGGCGCGGGACCGCCGCGCCGCCCGCCGCGGGGCCCAGCTCGAGGCCATCGAGACGGTCGCGGGCAACGAGGAGGAGAGGGCGGCGGACCGGGCCGCCGCGCGCGGCCGCCAGGAGGCGTCGGGCGTGCAGGGCGCAGAGGTGCGCGACCTGCCGTTCGCGCGCCAGGTCACGACGCCGTGGTTCTGGCTGGTCCTGCTGCTTACGGTCCTGCAGATGATGCGGATGAACTACTTCATCGCGACCGTCCGCGCGCAGTACCGGTATATGCTTGGCGGAGAGGACCTCGCTGGCCGGGTGAACTCTTTCTTTGATGTTGCGTTGCCTGTTGCGGGTGTCATTACCACCCCCTTCATCGGGATTCTCCTCAATGAGGTGCCTGTGTGGGGGACTCAGGGCGTGTTGACGGTTCTTATCGTGGTGCTGGGGATGCTTAATGTGATCCCGGCTCTGTGGGCGGGCTATGCCACCGTCGTTGCGTTTGTGATATTCCGACCTCTCTACTACTCGGCAGTCTCGTGAGTTTCAACCCGTTCCGTTCCGTCTCGTCCACGAGATGAAGTGTCACTAACATCCCATGTTTGCACAGGGACTACACAACCAAAGTCTTCGGCTTCGCAACCTTTGGTCGAATCTACGGCAGCATCACTGCCGTCTCAGGCCTGGGCCAGTTCATCCAGCCCGCGCTGGACGCGCTCACCCACGGGCCCCTGCACGACAACCCGGTGCCCATCAACCTCGTCTTCGCGCTGGCCGGGAGCGTGATCAGCGCGGCCCTGACGGTCTTTGTGTACATCAAGACGAGGGAAACCGGCAGCGGATTGTTCGGCGGCAGCAAGGATTTGAGGTATGGGGAAGACCTGGCGGACGGGGAGCGTCGGGCTCTGTTGCATGATGGTGGCCGCGTGGAGGCATATGGTTCTGCCCTGAGGGAGCAGTCGCGTTGAGTGTGTTTTGGGCTGTCTTTTTACTTGTTTCGTTGAGACGCGGCGTGATGGTATAGAAAAAGCAAGCTACGAAGAGCTCTTGGGCTTGGGATGGGAAAGGTTATCAATAACAAATGAAGGAGTTGCTCAGTCTTTCATCTAGAGTAGACAAGTTGGGGGCAAGGACAGGGTTACTTGATGTAAAAGGCAACTATATGGCGTTTCGACTTTTGCCGACAGAATGATGTACTACCCTTTGTTCACATCAAATATGAGGCCGGAACAGCAAGTTCCAAGCCTTATAGGCCGGTAAGTCTGACCGAATTGCTCAAATTTATTGCAAGAAAGCAGCGATTCAAGTGATTCTCACAATCATCAAACCTTTGCAAGTGGCTAGGACCATTGGGATTAGAGGAATCGCTTATTAGTTTATTCATTCGGTGTACACTATTTCATGTTGATGCATTGCACTCATTATCCAACTTTAGCGACATAAGATGCTTTTTCTTTCCAAGAGACCCAGCCCAAACGCCACAGGCAATGCGGACAGCAATACCAATTCTAACTCCAGGTGATGGTTTCAACAATAGACATACATGTCAACGAAGCATATATGACAGGTCAGGCAATGCCCCCACAATACGGGCTACAGCGGCACTCTCCTCGTCGGGCTGAGCAAAGCTGACGCTCTTCGCAGGTGGAGGCATAGTCGCAGAATGCACGGTTGTGCTCATCGGTTTCGGGGAAGACGCCTTCGGGGTGATGACATGCTGTAAAGGTGATGGTCGACCCAAGCTAAGTGACGGTCGGTTTGAATGTTTGGGGGATGGCGGTTTAGAGATTTGGAATGCAGCGGGTGAGATTGGTCGGATGGGCTCCAAGGCTGGTTGCGAGCTAATAGATGACTTGGGCGTATGCTTTGACGAGGTCGAAACAGGAGGTGTGGGTGGTGGGGGCAGTTGGAATGAGGCTGGCGATGAAGTACTCGAGGATGCCATTGGGCCTGATGGTGTGGACGGAGTAGGCAGTTGGAAGGCTGATATCGGTGAACTAGTCCTCGAAGGCCCACTCAAAGCGGGAGACTGTAGCGGCGTGTCAAAGTCGAACTCTGGTTTCGAAGTGGTGGTGGCAGGGATGGCGGGTACGGTTGGAGCGACGGGTGAAAATGATGGAGCCAGGGTCGTGTCGAAGGCCGAGAAGTCCCACATGTCAGTCGAGGGTATGGGTGGCTGGTGTGCCTTTTGAGGAGCTTCGTCCTGTTCGAGCTTCGAGGCAACGGCAACGAGTGTTGCATCGGTGTCATTGATGGGTGCCGCCGGAGAGGGATCTTTTGTGGAGAGCTCGGCCATGGAGCTATTCAGCCCCGTGTCGAAAATCCGGCTGACAGGCCGACTGCTTCCCATCGGGGAGGCTACCATCTCCCCCCATTCCTCGTCATCCTCGTCTTCCACCAGTGCGTTTGAGCCCACTGATGGCGCTGAAGACGGAGGGGCCAGCTGCAGAGAAGGCCTGCTCTCTGGCTCATGGATGCTAGTATTGACGGCTGTGTTGCTGCCAAATCTCGACGATGTGACTTCGAGGGACTGCCTTACAGCTCGGCTAGGCGGGCGTGAAGATGCAGGAGTTCCCGACTCATCGGTCATGGTGCTCCAGCCAAAGGCGGGACTCTTCGGTGGGCCCGGGATGCTCATCGGTGATGGACATGGTAGACTGCTCACACCTGGAGATCGAGGAGGTAAGCTCTTGACGCCACCGGACAAGTTGCGGGAGTGAGCCGCGGCCGACCTCGGCTGTAGAGATAGAGGGCGAGGCACGTTGGCGGAAGCAACTTTTGGAGGCTGCGCGCTCTTCCTCTTGCCGAAGATCTGATCCATTGATAATGGTTCTGACTTCGTATCCCAGTTGAACGCCCCGCCTTTGATGGAATTACCACCGCCAAACGACGGACGACCTCCCGAGAACGAGCCCTCTTCCATCCACCGGCGCACGACCTTGTTGGTCTCTTCCCGCATTTTCGAAACCGGCCAAGTCACACGACGATAATTCTCATCGTCTCCCAGATCATGCCTTCGCATGGATCCAGGGCGAGAAATCCGGTACCAGGTTTTCCGTTCTGATACGGATGAGAAACTGTCCTTGATAATGCCCTCAACATCGAGACTGTAGTCCTTGGCGCTTGGCTGTTCTGCGTCCAGCTTCGCCATATCGAACAGTTTATCAACGCTTCCAAGATCTGGAGTGAACACAACAGGTCCAAACTTGGCGCGCAGGTCTTGGAACGTATGTGACCTCTCCTCGGGTATCGGCGCTGGGGCTGAAGGTTTCGCATTGAAGGCAGATCTCGCGGGACCAGCTCTGGAACTACCCGGACGGGGGGATCCGCCAACCGACGGTTTCCTCGACGGCGGGGCAGAACCAAGGCTTTCTGCATCTTCAAAGTCGCCGAACTCGCTGATGTCCTCCGTCCTCGTGCTGCGAATACTTGCCGCACCCCGACTGGTGCTGCGTTGTCTGCCACCAGGCGCCATAGGTACCGAGAGCGCGTTGTCCTTAGGCTTGACCATCCCGTCATACATGTGAACCAGCTCCTGGACCTTGACCGATGGTCTCCTGGGCATCTGAGGACGGTCCTTCGCATCCTCGTCCATGGAGGTGATTGGTGAGTCCGGCCGGTCGTCATGGTGGCTTTCAGCTGACATCGACGAATGCCGAGAATCGCTCAGAGACCTGGTATTTGTCCCCTCCTCATTTTCTCTCTTGGCCGCTTCATCGCCCGCATTTGTGACTTGGCCCACCTCTTCGTCCCGAGTCCTTTCTGAGGGCTGCGTAGTCTTAGAATCCTGGGTTGATGTGGCCTCTGGTGCAGCAACCTCAGCCTTCTCGTCTTCCTTGATCTTTGCCATGTCCTCTTCGTTCTCCTCTTCGTGTCTGTCTAGCGTAAAGAACGCAGCCTGCTCGGCCGAGACCAGAGCCGGGGTCGGGAGACTGAGTCGGTTCTCCGAGAACTCGACAGCCCACGGATCGGGGGAGGGCTGGCGGAATAGAGAGCGAGAACTGCTCCTGCGCGATATCGTCCTGGCTGGAGGAAGGCCCGGGGAGGCGGCAGCGGGCCACGAGGGACTATGCATTCCGAGACTCCCCTCCCGTGCCCTAGAGACAGGCGCGAGTGATGTCTGGCTCGAGTTTGGCGCATTTTCACCGCCCCATCCAGCCCAGATTGAACTTGACGTGGCGGCGGGGGTGGGCAATGCCAGGCCCGGGTCTGCAGCTGCCCAGTCATCGAAGCCATCGTCTTCGGCGGCCCACGGCGACGCTGTGGAAAAGGAGCGTTGCCTGGTGAGGGTGCGGCCGGGGAGCTCGAGGGTGGAACGAGGAATGGTCGGCTCAAGGGTTGTGTTGGTATCGGTCGCCCACGGCGAGCCCCATGGATCTTCCATGCTTTCGAGGACTCTTTCTCATGTTGAGGGGCACTATAAGTCGGTCATTGGCGATGCGTAGGTGGCCCTCTTGCAGGTTTGAACCTCGTCCAGCCGGGGTTCCCGAATCGAGCTGTTGATCGCAACTTCGCAAGAGTGCCGGGGAGTAGGGGTTGCTGGGCTCGTTGGTCGCGGGTGTTGAAGACCTTCGCAAGCTCTTGTTCTTCCTCACTGTCCGGGTGTTCGAAACAAAAGTATCCAAAATCGTGGTGGTGAGGTGATGGTAGTGTCGAAGGCTGGGCAGGGTGGTGTTTCGATTGTTGATGCAGATTTGAGGTTTGGAGCACGGCCAAGCCTTGGGGGTGGACGGTTTACACTCCCGAAAGTCGCGTCAGTGGGGAAAGTCAAAGTCCGCAGACAGCGGCTACCTTGTAGACCGTACTCTAGACCCAGCAGGCCCCAGGGTCTGAGCACCTGGCGTGTGTACCAGATACCTTAAATACGTGCTAGTGGAACATATGCTGAATGTAGGTGATGCACTTCGAAGGAGGATCTGTCGGCAGTCCAAAGTCCAAAGAGCTTCGAGAAGCTGTGTTATGGACAATTGGCATCTTGGGGATCCGAGATGGTCTTTTCTACTCATAGCATAGATTGGCTGTTGATTGCGAACGGGCCATCCACCGCAAGTCTGGCCAAGTCCTGACGTGACACTGGTGGTGGAGATCAGGAGCATCAGGGGCAAAAGTATCTCTACCCAGCGCGGTATGAGTCGTCTATACTGGGGTAAGTATCCCTACGGGGCAGACCGAGCGTGCCTGCTGGGCCTGGTGCAGGTTGACCGACAGGAGAATCAGGTTAGCAGTTGGGGGCAGAAGCACATGCTTATCTAACAACTGGCTGGGCTGCTCGCCTGCTTTATCAGCTTCCTGCCGAGATCGCTCCGATCAATTTTGGTCGATGACAAAATGCAGGCGCTGAATTGTCGCCAACTCTGAAGACGAGATGGCGGCGACAACTGAATTTATTCTCGATCAGTATCCCATTCTGGATTCTTTTTTTTCCCACCTTTCATTCTCCTTGACCCTGCTGTCAGGACGTTGAATTGCCCCCATCGAGCTGATCCTACCAAACTGTCTAACCCCTCAGTATCCACCCACAGAAACCAAGACCGACGACAGGGCAATAAACATGTCGAGCGCCAATCTCTCCAAGGTCAAGCATATTATACTGGTGAGTGATGCATATACGGAAAACTAATTCTCAGCATCATCTGGCCATTCCGGCTGACCATGGCTTCTACTCTTGCAGGTCCTCTCCGGCAAAGGCGGGGTGGGCAAGTCCTCCGTCACGACCCAGCTCGCCCTCTCCCTCTCACTAGCCGGCCACTCCGTAGGCGTTCTCGACATCGACCTCACCGGCCCCAACATCCCCCACATGTTTCGCGTCGAAGACAATGCCCGGATAACCCAGGGCCCAGGCGGCTGGATACCAGTCAGCATCCACGACGCCGACCCCTCTCGCAACCTCGGTTCCTTGCGGATAATGAGCCTCGGCTTTCTGGTCAAGCGCGGCGACTCGGTCGTGTGGCGGGGTCCGAAGAAGACGGCCATGATCAAACAGTTTCTTACTGACGTCTCCTGGGACGAGACGGACTACCTGCTGATCGACACCCCGCCCGGCACCAGCGACGAACACATTTCTGCAGTCGAGTATCTTCTCCAGCTGGCACGACCCGACCAGCTCGCTGGCGCAGTGTTGGTGACCATGCCACAGGACATGTCCACTGCTATGGTGCGAAAAGAGCTGGACTTCTGCCGGAAGACGGGCCTGAGCGTCATCGGCATCGTGGAGAACATGTGTGGCTTCGTTTGCCCGCACTGCTCAGAATGCACATACATCTTCAGCAAAGGCGGCGGTCAGGTCCTGGCGCAGGACTTTGAAACTGAGTTTCTGGGGAGTGTTCCTATCGATCCGCAATTCACCAAACTTATCACCTCGGGCAAAAGGCCTTGGTATCCGGACGGAACCATTCTCGACGGGCAGGACTTATCGAGCGCAACCGAGGCAGCCCCTGCGCCAAGTGAGGACTCAGTCAACGACGACAACGACCCCCTGGCCTTGAAATATAAGGACTGTGCATTGAGCACGGTGTTCAAGAGTATCACAGCCGGTGTGCTCAAAGCCGCTGGCAGCCCATGACGGGACAGGCGGTAATCAGAAAGCAAGCATAACGTCCTGGTAATTGCCCAGGCCGGATCGACACATATTCAATGCTTCAAATATCTCTGCGAAGACAGATGCTCCAAGGGTATCCGTGACAGGCGTTATGCCACAGATGTTTTTCTGAGGACATGTTCTCGAGACCTCTGTGGTAACTTGCCGCCAAGTCGTTTTCGACGGATACCTCACAAGCAAAATGAGGGGAATGCAGGCCAACACCAACCTCATTAGAGGCAACACCCAACGCTGGAATACAAAGACGGCAGTAATTCAGACCAAACTCGTCAATGAGGAGAATAATTGATCGGTCCTGAAGAGGAAGTAGACAACAGCCAGTCGGCCCCGACGGTACAACAACCGACTGCGTTTCCGAAATGGTTGGTTACAGCATCAAATCTCAAAGTGCAGCATAGCCTACGTGTGAATTAGCACCTGTTCCTGAATTATTCGCACATGAATTATGTTACTGATTTTATCCAATATGAGCTCCTCTTACAGACCCACATAATCATGTCTGTGCCTCTGCCCTGCAGCGACTGTGAGGCACTATTCTCCGTTCCCGTGCACAAACTGAGTCCTACTCGTTTTCAACCCACATTCAACATTGCTGTCTCATAAAGGCATACCATGGACGAAAGCGAAAGCACGAAACCACAGCCAATGGACGGTGAGGGTCCTGGCCATGAAAGTGATGGCGGGGAGGCTGGTGAGCCTTACAAGTACACGCCTCTACCCGAGCCTGGCAAAGGCCCTCTGCTGGTGCCGACCACGCTCTGAATACGATTGCTCACCATTCATCCTGGGGAGTACGACGATAGTTCAATTTTTCGGTGGATACGTGCTTGACTACTCACCGATTCTTCATTACCGAGGATAGGCTTATGGGGTGGGCACCGAAACAGGAGAGGCAGGGTGATCATATTGCCATCATGCTTGGGAACGAAACCCCCACGGTCCTCAGGCCAGTCTCGTCTCCGGAGACTGAGCAATATGAGGTGGTTGGGCCGTGCTACTTGCAAGGCTTTATGTTTGGCGAAGGCTTCTTGGGTCCCATCCCGGAAGGGTTGCGGCCTGTTGCGCATTACGAAGATGGACATGGAACACCGGCGCACTTTGAATTCCTCGATACCATATCGGGTGAGAGTTTTCCGCAGGACCTTCGTTTGGACGCGTTCCTCGACCCTGATCAAGCGTGGGCATGGCAAACAGAAGAGGTGCGGAACTGCAGAACGAAGGTTGAAGTCCTGCGATCCTTCGGGCTGGATATGCAGTACTTCGACCTCTTCTAAAGGCAGTAGACGGTAATGAGCATGTGGGAACTGTGAACACTTGGCAGACACAAAACGAAGCAGGTTGTGAATTGTGCCCAATATGTAGACTACCTAAAATAGTCCATACAACTAAAATTGATCCACTGCTCCATGTACTACCCCGATTTGTGAAATGTCGTTAATTCAACTCCTATTAAAGCCAACTCTTGAATACGCGCCAGAAATCGTCGTCCAAGCTTAGTAACGGTGTCAGTTATTTTTTTTCTTCTTTCCCCAAATAGTCCATAGTCCCAATGCACTACCTACTGTAGTCGCTGCTATGGGCTCGCCTGGGGTTCCTTGGGGGCCCTGTTCACCCGTTGGTTTCTGCCCGGGGTGTTAAGGTTTGGCGGTGGGTCCGCAGCTCCGGTTATCATTGGGTTCTGGTTCCTGGAGTAGCACCGACCTACGTAATGGTTGGGTTGCTATAAACGGTGACAGCCCAACCCCAAGAACCCCACCATTGACGGCTGCAAGACGCGAAAATTTCTAAACAAATATCTTGGAAGTCTTGGACTTTGCCGCACCCGACCTCAGCATCGTCAACACGCAACGCCTGGCTCTGCAACATCTACGAGCGCAGTACCGCAAGCTGTACTGATGCCCTCCTGAACCCTATAGCTCTGCAAACAATCAGCAGGAGCTTTAGCCAACACCGATACTCCACCACAGGTGTCGGCGGAAACTGTGACCCACGGGGCACACGACCACAAAACAGCCCACCATTCCGTCGTCGCAGGTCTTTCTTCTTCCTCTTCCCGCACGACCTCCCTAACGTCCCATCCGTGAGACGTTCAGACACCCCCCGCGACTTATTGCTGGCGTCCGCCAGCACTTACAGGCAACCACCGTCCTGTGGGCCTACCCTCTCAAACGGACGCCGCAAAGTCTGTTTGAGTTGGCAGTTAGTGTCCCGCGGAAGAACCTCCTCTTCCTTCGACCTACCGACCTCGCCTTCGTCCATCCCTCTCCTCCTCCTCCTCCTCCTCCTCCAGCCACCCCGACCGTCCCAGCTATCGCTGCTGTTGCTGCTGCTGTCCTGCAGAGAATAGACGGATATGGTCGATATTGAGGCCCCTATCAGCTCTGTCTTGTCGACATCGGAGGCCACTCCGCATCTGACTATCAATCATGATGTCGCCGACGATCTAGACTCTAGCAATGCCTTTGAAGGACCGGAGAAGCTGCTGGAGGTCTGGTTTGCCCCCAGCCCCTCGGCGCTTCCCGCTGGAGCCAACGAGAATGGCCTGATGGTTGTCCCCTCCCAGACCTGGAAGGAGATGCTTCAGCTCGTCCACTGCGAGGTTCTCTCGGTTGTCTCGTCCGAGCATATGGATGCCTACTTGCTCTCCGAGTCGAGCATGTTCGTCTTCCCTCATAAGCTGATCCTGAAGACTTGCGGGACTACCACCCTGCTCCTCGGGCTCAGGCGGCTCCTGCGCATCGCAGCTGTCGAGGCTGGGTTTCCCTTCCACAATGTTGCAGACATCAAGGATGAGGCCGCCATGGCCTCTCCGTACCGCGTCTTCTATAGCCGCAAGAACTTCCTGTTCCCGGACAAGCAGCGCGGTCCCCATCGCAGTTGGAACGACGAAGTCAAGTTCCTCGACAACCTCTTCGATGGCGGTAGCGCCTATCTCGTTGGGAAGATGAACGGCGACCACTGGTACCTTTACATCACCACTCCGGACCCGCAGATTACTCCCCCACGCACTCCGGGCAGTAGCAAGGAGAACAGCCCCACCCGTCCCTCCAAGATCCCTACGGGCATCATGTCTTCTTTCCCACAGGTCAGGGCCGGGGACGAGTACCAGGACGAGACGCTGGAGATCCTCATGACAGACCTCGACCCCGAAAATGCCAAGCAGTTCTATCTGTCGCACGCGAGTGCGGTCGCGCGCGAGCGGGTTCCTGTGCAGGCTGAAGAGGCGAGGAAGGAGGCATCGGATGTTCCCGGGGCCGACGACGCCCCTGACAATAAGAATGACGAAACTTTCGATGTGTTTGCCAATGGTGTCAACGCTGGTGGCGACCAAGCCCCCACTGCTGAGGTCGAGGAGCTCACCTCGGAGGGCCACGCCCTCGGAACCGTTGTTTCTCAGAACTGCGGCCTGTCCGAGGTCTACCCCACGTCCAAATACCCTGACGCGCGCGTTGACGCCTATTTGTTTTCCCCGTGCGGCTTCTCCGCCAACGCCGTCATTCCTGCCCCGGTCGACGCCGACGCAGAGGTTAATGACGCCGTCAAGAAGACCGCGGGCGCCACGCACTATTTCACCGTCCACGTGACGCCCGAGCCGAACTGCAGCTTCGCTTCGTTCGAGACCAATGTCCCCGGGGGGCAGAACGGCCGCGAGACGGGCGAGGTCATCGAGCACGTGGTCGGCATCTTCAAGCCGGGTCGCTTCATCGTCACACTGTTCGAGGCCAAGGGCGCCGGGGCGGCGCGCAGCCCGGACCCATACGGCCTGCGCAAGAACCGCAGCGAGGTTATCGGCGGGTACAGGCGCGTCGACCGCATCGTCCACCAGTTTGACGACTACGACCTTGTGTTTGGGTTCTTCCAGAGGGATGGCTGGGTCGATTTCGGCGGCGCCAGGGTCGGCGAGGAGTCGCCCCGCTCGTCTGTTCACATGGAGCTCTAGGGTGATGCTCTGAAACGCAAGGCTATCGGGTAATGAATCAGGATAACTTTCTTTGGGTGTCCCGACCTTTTGTTTTCAGATGTCATTGGGGACCGTGGGTTTCCTTTAGTAGTTGTTTGGTACACTTAAGGATTATGACTTACGCTTTGATGCCTTCCGCTCATATCGAGCACGGTGACGCGTGTGTGATCAACAGACATAATTCCATTTACAACCATAATGATATTTATTCTGAGAACGGTCGCTTCCGCTCGAACATTGTTGTACCTATCGCCCACGGACCGAACCTGTGAGATACTGGGTGTTCGGCACCCATAGATGTCCTAAGCGTTGCAACTCGACCCTGAGACCAAGCTTTGATCTTGTATCGTGACTATTGATTGAGTGTTTCACGAGCGGTTGCCATATGCCATCCCCATAGTATGCGCATGGTGCAATACCAAGAGGGTGTGGCCATGCTCATTTGAGGGCTTGTTTGTCATCCTTGTACAGACTTCAGTCATGTATCCATATAGTGTGAGCGAGATGCCACACGTTTGCTTCCTTAGCAGGGACGGTAGAGATCGTTGACTTCGAGACAGTCACACTGTTTCTTGTGTGATGGAGGGCTCAGACGCAAGCAGTCTAAGGTCGTCCACGACTAAAAGCATAGGGTTCTGCGATGGAAAGTGTTCCTGTAACGCTTTGGAGATTTTAAACCAGCATTGTTTCCCCAGACGCGACTGATAAGTTATATTGGTGGAGGTTGTAGCTGAAGCGGGAACGCCGGGCCGGATCGGTGTGCTATTAGGGGGCAGCCTGAACTCTTTCGCCCTTATTCTGCGTGTCGCTTTGGCAATGAGAATTAATACTCGAGGAAAAGATGTACCTACTTATCATTCTTCCTCATCGAGTATTTAACAGCGGCTAGCCAATTGAAGAGACAGCGCATCTTCAGAGGTAATAGACAGCCAATAGGAGCCAGCAAGACAAGACCATCATATAGAAGCTAGAGCTGACTAACTGACTACATAAGTTCTACCGCTTACTGAGGTGACATGGGAGCTTGGCCATCAAGGTTCTCAAACACCCTTCCGGGAGCCAAAAAGACATGTGAAGAGTTGTGGGGGGCGTGAGCAAGTATATGAGCAAGTATGAGCAACTTTTTTGTGATTGGCTCCATCGTGCGGACTGTCCTCACACAAACCCCACCACAGCTCATCAAGGTACATGCTTTGTCCCCTCGGAATCGGCAGTCGACGTATTCCGTACAGGTGTGAAAGCTCGATATATTTTCTCGATTAGCAATCCACGTCTCTGTTACTTTCCCCGCACCTTTTGCTAACATCCTCGATCGAATTCCCTCCTCACTCACAGCCCCGTTGATCTCAAAAATGGCGACACCTACATACGTCCTACCGCCCTTGCCATATGCCTACGATGTAAGACACCCAATCTAGCACACGCACATGGAAAAAAGTCGTACGCAAAGACGTTCCCGTTCTCCACATGTGTAGCAGTCTCCTAGGACGCCTCGATCTTCGGGACTCTGGACTAAGCTCTCCATAGGCCCTGGAGCCGAGTATTTCCAAGCAGATCATGGAACTCCACCATGACAAGCATCATCAAACTTATGTGACGAATCTTAACAAAGCGTTGCAAGTGTCCGCATCCGCGCTGGCCGAGGGCAATCTGCCGAACTCGGCCGCTCAGCTATCCGCCATCCGCTTCAACGGTGGCGGCCACATCAACCACTCACTCTTCTGGGAGAATCTGGCACCGTCCTCCTCGGCAGACTCGAAGGTTGACGCGGCTCCGAAGCTGTCGGCGGCAATCAACTCCACATGGGGGAGTCTGGAGAAGTTCAAGCAGGCATTCACGGCCGCCCTGCTGGGCATCCAGGGCAGCGGCTGGGGCTGGCTCGTCAAGGAGGCCGGCACCGGCCAGCTGAGGGTGGTGACGCTTGCCAACCAGGAGGCTGTCGTCGTCGGCGACACGCCTATTTTTGGTGTCGACATGTGGGAGCATGCTTACTACCTGCAATATCTTAATGGGAAAGCCGCCTACGTCGAGAACATCTGGGCGGTGATCAATTGGAAGACTGCTGAGTCACGGTTTGTGGGGGCTAGAGAGGACGCCTTCAAGTCGCTGAGGGCAAAGATGTGATGCCTCGGCCGAGATTGATAGGAAACCTCCGGGAGAACAGTCAACCAGATCCTACCAGAAACCCTGAAATATTGCGATTGATTGTACAGCCACATATGAAAGCTACTTCTGCGAGTGGCACAAAGCAAAAGCGGAGCAATCCTCTTGCGCATCTCTTCTCATCCTCGTCGTAAATTTGCTCAATTCGCAGGAAGACTTGTACCAATTCCTACGGAACACTGAATGTCGTCCACAAGCTTCTATACACCTTGCGCGTTTGTTAAAGATTGACTTTCCAGAGACTTCTTACATGACACTGTAGATATATAGACCAGGTTTGAGTGTAGGTATCACATCAGCATATCTGTGTGGGTATACATGCGATGGTAAGCAAGCTAGTTGTTGGTGTCCCCAACGCCTCTTTATTATTTTGTGGTTTAGGAATTTGTTCGATGCTTGAAGCAAAAATGACACACTACAAGACCGATGACGTGAGGGACGCCCTGGCGAGTGACCTGGTCGGGACCATTAGAATACCTTGCGCGTTGTGCAAGGTCGGAAAGTTACAATGATGACAGCAAAAATCAACATGCTGCGGGAAGACTGGGCGGAAACTCAAAGGCCTGGACATTCACAACCGAGCACTTGAGGAATTCCAGCATGGTTGCTTTTTTTCTTTCCTGGGACGATACTAAACACACTCCTCCTACACAATTTTATCTTGGCAGCTTTTGTTAAGGCAATTACCCAGCATATATTAAATTTATTAATACCTACTTAATAATAGCTATTTGCAAATAGCATTATAATAATAGCTTTGCCATTATCGCCAGGGCTTTATACCTTTAGGACCTTAATAAATGTAAAAGCTGCATTTCTTGCTAACTTTAATAATTTCCAAATTATTTAATATAATAAGCAATATTGCGCTAAGTTTATGCTTAACTTATTATTACTTAAAGAAGCTATATTAATTAAAAAGAATTTCTTTATATTTATAATAACTTTAATGCTTACCCTTATTAAGCTTTTTATAAAATTATATAAGCACTAAATAATGCTTTTTAATAATTTATTTTTAATATTTAGCTAAAAACTACTTATGAATTTTATACTAAGTTTAGCATATACTTTTAAAATATAATTATTAAGGAATTAGCTTTAATTCTTAATGCTTACTTTAAATGCATTACTTCCTTAATATCTACTTTATTTTTATTAATAAGGAGCTTTATTATTACGTTTTATATAAGGGTAATAGCAATTTCTTTATTTATAAAAGCCTTAATATCTTAATTAAAAATATAAAAGGTAAAGCTTACTTTTTTATATTATAAGGATATAAAGCTTAAGGAAAATTTATAAATCTTTTTTTACTTTAATAAATAATTACTTATTTAGTATTATAACTTTTATATGCTATATAATTTTATTTATAAATATATAAATTTATTGCTTATAAACCTGCTAAACGCTAATTAAGTTAATATAAAATAAGCTATAAAGCCTTAAAATAAACTTATTTATTAAGCGCTTTTTATATATAAAGATAAGCTTACTTAATTCTTAAAATATATTAAAGTAAAAGTTAGTATTACTTAGCATACTTATATCTTAGCTAATATTTTAATAAGGATTTAAAATTATAATAGCAAGAAAGTAAATATAATTAAAGTAATATAAGAAGAAACTTTTGCTTAAATTAACGCTTAATTAATTTCCTGCTATTTATTTTATTACTTTAATAAAAATCTTAATATTAACTTTTAAATTATTTTATTTATTAAGCCCCTTAATAAATGCTTTTGCCTTTTTAATTAAAGCTTACTTTTATAATTTTTAAAGAAAAAGTTTTAATTTTTTTAATGTATTAATTATTAAAACTTTTATAAAATTTATAATTATAAATATTATATTTATTATAATAATTATAATATAAGCGGTTATTATTATAATAATTATAACCTTTTATCTTAATATATTAATTATTATAGCCTTTATTATATTAATTTTAAGAAATGCCTTACTTAACTAAAGCTAATTAATAAAAACATTATTTACTTAATTAAATCTTAATAAAATAAAATTTACGTAAAAAAAAAAGAAGATTTATTATATAATAAACTTTAAGATAATTATTATTAAAGGAGCGAATAATATAAGTAAATATTAACCCTTTTTTTTCTTAGCTTTAAGGATAATTTATTTTTTAATATATAAATAAGTTGCATGCTTAAATAATAATTTAGTAAACTTAGTTATAAATATTAATATATAGGTATAAGGCCTACTTACCTTTATTTATGCCTTATTTTATAATTAAGAAATCTTCTCTTAAATATTAATAATTATAGCTTAATTGCTTAATATAAAATATTATATTTTAACTTAATATTAATAAAGGTATAAGAAATAGCATTATATATAATGTAGCTTTATAATTTATATAAGTTAATAAGTTTAATATTATAATAATTTAAGAACTTTAATTTTATATTTTCCTTAATAAAAAATATATAATAAAAACTTATATTAAATATAATTTTTTTCTCTTAACCTTTTGCTAAATTAACATTTTAAATAAGCTATATATTATAATATATATTTGCAAGAAATAAGGCTTTATTTTTAATTAAATCTTCTTAATAAAGATGCGGAATATTTATTAAGTTAAAGTAAATAAATGGATTTTTATTAATGCTTATAATTAACCTTACTTAATAAGTAAATAATTTAAAGTTAAAAAGATATTTATTAAGTAAACCCTTTTAGTAAATTATTTTATTAAAGGGGATTTTAATTTTATTTATTAATATTAATAATTTTTTAAATTTATTATAAGCATTAATGCTTTCTTAGTAAAATAAATAAATAAATATAACTTTAAATTTTTAAATAAGTATAATATTTTAATAAATAAATTTAATAATACTTTAAACTTAGCTTTTATAAATATTTACCTTAGCTCTTATAATATTAAAGAATATCTTAATATTAGCTTAAATTACTTTATATTTATTTTTAAGCTCCTTATATTATAAATAAGGTTAAAGTAAATTAAGCATATCTTTTATATTAATAATAAACTTAATAAGCTAATAAATATTATTTTAATAAAAATTTTAGCGTTCTTAATAATTAGTAAAACTATTTAGGAATTAAAAACTTATATTATAACTCTTTTAAAGCTTATTTATAATTTAGTAAAAGCTATTAGCTATTAAAGCAAGGGCATAAAGTATGCTTTACTTTAATAAATTAATAACCTTATTAAGCTATATAATAAGCTTATTTATAAATAAAAAGTTAATTATAATTAATTTAACTTTAACCTTTACTTAATAAGGATAAGGTTTTATATAGCAATATAATAAATTAAAAAAAATTAAAATAAAGAAATAATTACTAATTATATATTTTATAAGGATATATATCAAGTAGCTAATTAGCATTACTTATAAATAACAATAACCCCCTTACCCTTAACGATAAAAAACAAGGTTTTTACCTTTTAAAAAGATAAGGCCCAAGCATTTAATAAAGCAATGTTTTAGCAATACATTATTAAAGATAACATTACTAATCCTTAAATTCTCCTTATTACGCATTAATATATTTTATAAAACTTTATAATATTTATAAATAAAGCCGTTAATGCTATGCTTTAAATTAATAATATTACCCTTAATAAGGATATAATAATTATTAAAACTTTTTAAATAATTTAAAATATAGTTAGCAAAGCTATTTATATTCTTCTTAAATAAAGCCTTTAACTTAATTACTACCTATTAATCTTTTATATTATAATAATGGTTATAATTTTAAAAATTAATAAAAAAAACCTTATAAGTATTTATATATAGTAACTTATCGCTCTTATCTTTACTTTTAGCAAAGGCCTTAAAAAGCTAATTATTAAATGCCTTTTATACTTAGCATTAAATTATAAAGTTTTTTACCCTAATTAAATAAATGCGCTATTAAAATACTTAATAATAAACTTAATTTATGCCTTTATTTATAATATTTATTATACCCTTTTTATTAGCTAAGTAATTATACTTATTATAATTAATATTTAAAGCGCCTTTAATGCAATTCTTTATAACCGCCTTGCTCTATACATATATAAGCAAAGTTAATTTAATAACTTAATTTAATATATTATCTCTTTCCTTATAAATAAAATAATGCATATTTATTTATAATAAAATATAATAAATATTATTAAACTCTTATGCAGCCTTTTTTAAGGCTCCCCTTTTTTACTTATTTTCTTTTTGCTTTATATAAAATTAATTTACAAGCTTAATAAGCTATATTATTACTTTAAGTATACAAATAATATAGCTTTTATCTTAATTAAGTCTTTTTTAAAGGAAATTGCTAATATTATAATTAAAAAGCTTAATAAGCTTTTTGCTTAAGGTAAGGAAAACATTATTTAATTTAATTAAGCTAAAACAAAAGTTATATATATTTCCTATATTAAGAATAATTTATTAAATCCCTTAATATATTATAATGGCTTTTTATATATTATAAAAACATCTTTATGCTAACTTAATATTTACTTTAATTATTATCTTACCTTTACTTAATATATTAATATATAAATTGCTAAGATTAAAGTAATAGCAAATTATTTTAAAAGCCTTTATAATATAATTTTTAAATTACTTACTTACTTAATTTATTAAGCTATATAAGTATATATTAAGCTTATAGCTTTTTATAAAGCTAAGGTTTAATTTTATAAATATAATTACCTTAGCGTTAAACCTTTATTTAATATTATTTATATAAATAATAAAAAAATAATTAATAAAATTAATGCTTATCTTCATTCCACCTTACTCTTTATGCTTCCTATATATAAAATAATGCTTATAAACGCTTTTTATTAAGAAATTAATATTCTATATATTAATATCTTACTTATTATAATTAAAGATTGCTTTGCCTTTTAGCTAAGTATTTTTAACTTAATGCATTTATTAATAACTTAAATTTCACCC